GAGAATTATTATCTTATCACCCTCAATAAACGCCACGAACTTATCACTTGCACGGATAAGGACAACCTCAGATAACGCCTCAATAACAAAACACCTGGATCCAATCAAACGGTCGTGATAAGGGACCCATAATATTTTCACAAATTATTACATTATAAAATATATAATTTTTAATCAACAGTTGATTGGATCTGCCAATTAGACGTGTTACCGTTCCATTTATGTGAAGAGTAATAGGTCATTGTAGATAAAAAATAGGCTCACTTTTAATCTTGAATCTCTATTATTATTTTTAATATTTTAAAATTAATTCTTTTATTGATAATAAGTAATATTTAAAAATTAATTATTTGGTACATGAACTTTTTTTTAAAAAAATAGAATATAATTATTATTGTGGTTTGATTTTAATATTAATTTTGAAATAATTATAAAATTTAAAATAGAGCAACTATCAATTTATTTGGCTCATAAACTATTAGAAATTGTAACGAATATAAGATATAATTATATTCTAATTTTCAAAAAAAGCATTCGTGTATCAAGAAATTAATTTTTAAATATTATTTATTATCAATTAAATAAATAATTTAAAAATAATAATAGAGATCGACTTACTGTTAACTCAAATTCCTTCACTCACACAAATGTATTACGTTAATCCAAGCCCAAAGTGAAGAGTGAACCTATTTTTTATTTACAATTTAAGTTCTAATTATAAATTAAGGTGTTATTGCAATAAAATGTCAAAGTTTAAGGTGAAATTGATATAAAGATCAAATTTAAATGAAATTGTAACAAAATATTAAAATTCATGATGAAATTGACATAATGATTAAATCTGAGTAAAATTGCAATAAAACCTAAAGTTGAGAGCGAAACAATAAATTAAGCTTTTTTTTCTATTTTATAATGTATTTTGACTCATTAGCTTCGTAAAAAAATTTTATGATCATTTTTTTATAATTTTTTTATTAAATATTCTGTCAAAATTTTTAATATAATCTATGAAAATAAAAAATAATAGATCACTTTAAAAACTTAAAAAGGCAGACTATTCATTAGTAACGTATAAAAATAATTATAGTCTTAATGATCGATTTATGTTTTAATAACAATTGTCAAAATTTTATTGAATATGCAAGATTAATATTCATCTGGTCATAACTGTCGGTTATCATTTACTAAACAGACTCTAATTAGAGCATTCTCTGTTGATCAATTTTTATTTGAATATCACTTTCGACCTTACATAAATATACATGTATAAATTATATATATCTTAGAGTATTTTTTTTCATTTTATTAAAAGATCAGTGAATTCTATTAGTTATTAATAATAAAATTCCATGTTTGGTTTATATATGTATTTTAAAAAATATATATATATATATACATTGCCAGCCAAAAGCCAAATTTTATATGTTGGCTTTTAAATATGCTCAAGAGCTACTGCTTTTTGTCGTGCTGCCCCTTTTCACGTATAAATTTTCTCATAAAAAATAAATAGAATGCGCGTAGTACATGATTCTTGTGATATAGTTTGTTTGGTATTGAAATGCAAAATTGTTTTTAATTATTTTTTTATCATAAATTATGATCCCCACAAACCAATGACTTATCAATTTCATGGAGTGGCATGACTTAGTTAAGACATTATTAATTAAACATAAAAAAAAGAAAAAAACATGAGCTAAGTAACCAGGTACCATCTAGGACAGTACTTACAAGGAAACCTTCATGACATATTGAATAATATTAACAACACGTCAGCCAGAAATTAAAATTAGAGACTAAAGAATTTAGAAAAGCAAACTTAAAAAATTTACTATTTTAAATGGTAAAAATAAAAAATTTTAATATTTTATGGATGTTTCTTAAAATAAAAAAATTCGGCGGGCCTCCCGACCCTTCTAGCTCCATCAATGGTTACAATATATTGATGGAATGGAATGGATGATAAGGAACATTTCTCCATTAACAAAAAGTGTCAGAATTCGAATATTGGTATGAAGTTCCTTTAAACACACAGAATGGAACGGTTGCTCATTTCTGAGTTTAACGACGCGAATCTAAATTAATCGTGTCAATGTATTTCGAAGATCCCATAATTAAAGAAAAAAAAAATATTTGCAATTTAAATTAATGCAACAACATGTTTATATATGACAAAACACTATAACTATTGGGTACAATTTTGGAATTATTTATAACCCCAACTCATGTTTACATAATTATAGCATCCATATTTGTATTTTTTTTGTCTCCCCATAAACAATTTTACACGTCCTTCAAATATTTACATACTAATAATAGGATGAGACATTGGTAATTATTATTTTATTCTTAATCAAAACAAAATGAAACTTATAGTTACTTCTTTCATGAGATCATCAAGAATTTCACATCATACATTATTAGAAAAAGAGAAATTCTTTTTAAGTTTATAGTTTCTTGAATTCTTTTATTTTTCATTTTTTAAAAAATTAATTCAAATTTTAAAAAATTGACTTAATTGATAAATAAGCTCAAGAACGTGTTAATTAAAAATATTTATTCTTTTATATAAAGAAAGTTATTTAATTTAACTTGAAGCATAACTTTTGATGAGGTTTACAAGCCAAAAATATTAGTTAAAGTGGTTGAATTGTCGACTTATTATTAATACACACTTTTTGAATATTCAAAATGAGAAAATATAAAGTGTCTAATAAATAACAAAACCTCCTATAGCTTTACAACTTTTTTCACTTCACTTTTAGATAATGCAATTTACATATAAAAGCATGAAAATGATAGCAATGTATATCATCATCTTCATACATTGCATCTTCTTCTTATTTTATTCCTTAATTCAATAAATTAATCATCCTTATTCATTTAAAATTTATTCTTAACATTTAGCGTTTCGATTCAATCAAATAGTATTTATCGAATTGATGAAATTAAATTTATGGTTTTATATATTTTTTTTTATTTCATATTGAAACTAAATGAATATTTTACTATGATATTTTGAAAATTTACAAAATGAATAGTAGGATTAAAATTATATTAAATATTGAAATTCAAGATTTATGTTGAGTAACAAATTGTTTATTGAACTTTATTTTTAATTTTATAATTTTTTAGTCTTTTGAATTTTTGGACTCATTTGGTTTATAAAATATAAAGAGGATGGAATATAGATTCACTGAAAATAGAGTATCTTAAATTTATTTCAAATTTAATTGTATAATAAATATTTCATGGAGAAGGCAAACTTGTAACATTGAGAATACCATTTTTAAAGGGAAGGATTATAATTTTGACAAGTGAAAAAAAAAAAAAATCAACCATTTTTATAGATGAAGAAAATAAAATGTAAATTAATATTTTATTTTATGAAATATCTACTTTGTTAGTTATTATTCCATTAAAGCTTAATATCCCGGGCCAATCCCTTTTTATCTCCAAGAGCGAGCGGAGATTAGTCAAATTTTGTGGAATAAAAAAAAAATAAAGCTTAATATTTTCATATTATGTGGAAGAATGGTTTTGGATATGAACATATTGATTCAACAAAAGTCAATTTAGCATTGACCTAGTGGGTACTTCCGGGTCTAATTGAACTGCTATGATTCATACTTAATAAGCTGTCAAAATACCGTAGACACGCTAAGTCAAGCTTTTAATTGGAAACGAAAATATCTTTATGAAAGTAAGTTTGGGATAAATGAATTTCATAAAATTTTATGGATAAATCTAAATTTTTATGTTTAGTATAAAAAAAATAGAAAATTTTGATTTTAAGAATTCAATTCTATAAATTTAAATATAATCAAACCAATTCTATACAAACAGTAGAATTTTCAAATGAAATTTTAAAAATAAAAATAATGAAATTTTCAATTTTAAATTTATTACAAACATGAAAAATAAAAATGAATTCTATATATAATTCATTTATAAATGAATTCTACATTTGTATTCATTTATACCAAACGCAATGAAAAAGTACTATTCAAATATTCGTTTCTTCTCCTATATAAATTAGGTTTGATTTTCACATAAATTAAGAAAAAACAATAATATGATTACATTTTAATTTTATTTCTTTTTTTTATAATATGCCCATTTAGTAATAATCCATCAACTAAATATTCTTAAAAAAAAAAAAACATCAACTAATGAATAAACACAAGAGTCAAGACAATAAAATAGAGTTGGCTCTAATAGAACTATTTCCAACATTGTTTATATATACTACTCTAGGTTACTAATTATGAAGTATTAAGGTACTACATTTATTAGTAGATATGCCATTAAATCGGAACAAAATAAAAAAATTGGGTAAATTTTCCGCTTATAAAAAAAAGATATATGAACAAACGGAATATTACTTTTAACACAAACAAACAGGTTTTTTAAAATTTAATTATTGAATTAATAAAAAAATAGTAATTAAATGATTTTATAAAATTATTAATTTATTTTCACATAAATATTTTTACACTTAAACCATCAACTTTATATTTTTAATTTTTGGCTCACAATAGGAGGATGGAGGCGTCAATGACGGTCCCAGCCCTTCATAGGGTATTTTTTTTTTTTAATTTACTAAATAAATTGGTAATTTCATTTTACTTTCCCTCAAAACTTTTAATATTAATCTAAAGCCAAAAAAAAAAAAAGTTTTAATTGATATTTGAAAGATAAATAAACCGAAAAATAGAAAGAGGAAAGAAAAGGAAATCTACCACCTCTTAGTTTCAGGAGACGCCACTTTTGACCTTATCCTACCCACCGTTACTTAGCGGTCGTTTGTATCTAGTACTCGCCGTTAACTGTTGAAGGGTCTCTCTCCTATTTAACTCCGTCTCTTTTAACATCCTCCGTTACACACTCTTTCTCTCATTCTCTCTCTCACAAATGGGGATCGAATGTGCGAGACTCTGTTTTGGGTGGATTTGGAGCCTCTTCTTTTAGGTGATTTTCGAATCTCTTTGATTTTATTCATTTCCATTATTTTCTTTTGTTTTTTTTTTTACGGAGTTCGGGATCCATCTTAGTCTGATTTGGTCGCTTTGAATCTCTACTTTATCTGCTATTAAGCTTATTATCGTAGGATTTCTTTTCAGATTCTACGGATTTTCGAATTGTTTCCTTGTTTTGGGTTTTCTACCCTGTTTGGCAACTCGGAAAGTGCAGGAAATCGAATTTTCTTTGAAATTTTCAGTTTTCGGAGGGTTTAACCTAATGGGATCCTGAAAAATTGGAAACTTGGTATAATTTTTTTTACTTGGGGTTCGTGCTATAGCTTAAGATTTAACTTAATTAGCTTCTCTAGAATTACTGAGATTCTGTTATGATTTGTGGAAATCCAAATTTAATAGATTGAGTTATTCCTCTGGTTAATTGTTATTCTTGGTATCCAAGAGATGGACAGAGTTGTTTGATAACTTATAATTGGAAATCTGTAAACTATGTTAAAGAATCAATATATTTTTATTTTGTCTAGTTGATCTCTCTCTATTTCTTCTGTTTTTTTTTTTTTTTTTTTTTTTTTTTTTTTTTTTTTTTTGTCTAGGTTGATCTCTCCTCTATTTTCTTCTGTTTTTCTTTTTTTCTTTTTTTTTTTTTTTTTGTTTTCTGACAGGTCGGTGATTTACCACTGATCATTCGATGTCATCTTTGCTTTCTTTGATCCATTGCATGAACCATTTCGTCGATTAATGTGGTGGATATGGGGCTTTAACAGCATGATAGAGATTTGATTGAGTTGCGGCTTGTTCGGTTTTGTTGATTGATTGGAGCTTCTTGCTGGATTTTTGTGGGGTTTACTATTTGATTCATGATGCTGTTCGATGATTTTCGTAGCCGCTGTGGTTGACTTGCACAGTCATAAACTGTAGAATTCAGAAAAACTAAAGAAGAAAAAAAATTATGGCGCGGAAACTTATACTCAACAACGTTGTCCAATGGAGGAATTTTTTTTTTTTTTTTTTTTTTTTTTTTTTTTTTTTTTCTGACAGGTCGGTGATTTACCAATGATATTGATGTCATCTTTTGCTGTTCTTTGAATCCATTGATGAACATTTGTCGATTATTGTGGTGGAAAAATTTGGGGCTTTAAAGATGAAGAGATTTATGAGTTGCTTGTTCGGTTTTGTTGATTGATTGGGAGCTCTGCTGATTTTTGTGGGTTTCTATTTGATTCATGATGCTGTTGATGATTTTGTAGCCGCTGTGGTTGACTTGCAAGTCATAAACTAGAATTCAGAAAAATAAAGAAGAAAAAAATATGGGGGAAACTATACTCACAACCTTGTCAATGGAGAATTATCATCCATCTACACTTTTATCAATGGATTCAAGTTCTCTAACACATGAAGAAATGGAGAGAGAGATGAATCGGCCAGTCATTCTTTCACGGCCCCCGGATATCAATCTTCCGTTGTCATCTGAGCCTAGCCCTCCTTCCTTGGGTTGGAATGATACATGTGACATCTTAGATGTTAGTCTTGCGCCTCAAACTTATGAGGTTGAGACAGTCATCAATGTCCCAAAAGTTACAAAGAAGTGCACAAAACGGCTTGATAGTATTTGGGGTGCATGGTTTTTCTTTAGCTTCTATTTCAAGCCTGTTCTGAATGAGAAATCAAAGTGCAAGATTATTAGGGACAGTAATGGCGTATCTGGTTTTGAGAAATCAGATTTGCAGCTTGATGCTTTCTTGGTTCAGCATGACATGGAAAATATGTACATGTGGGTTTTCAAGGAAAGGCCTGAAAATGCCTTGGGTAAGATGCAGCTGAGGAGTTACATGAATGGGCATTCTCGCCTAGGGGAGCGCCCTTTTCCATTCAGTGTTGATAAGGGCTTTGTTCGGTCTCATAGGATGCAGAGAAAGCATTACAGGGGTCTCTCCAATCCTCAGTGTGTTCATGGAATAGAAATTGTTAGATCACCCAATCTCATGAATCTTGATGAGGAAGAGAGGAAAAGGTGGATGGAGCTTACTGGTAGAGACGTAAATTTCTCAATTCCTGTTGAAGCAAGTGACTTCAGTTTGTGGAGGAACCTTCCAAACACAGAATTCGAGCTTGAGCGCCCTCTTCATCCATTAAAGAATAATGGGAATTCCCAACCGAGAAAATTGCTTAATGGTACCAGTTTGAATCTGTCCACCCAGTCATCAGACCATAGCAATGGTGAGAGCATAGACCTTTCGCCTGTATCTCATAAGCGGAAAAAGGATTATTTGCCACATGGAAATGATGATGAATGTCTCGCAAACAATTCACATGGTGACAGAGTTGATATGAATATCCATCCAGTTGAGCCAGCATGGATAAATGAGTTCAGTGGAGTAATGAAGAATGTATATGGGCCTGTTACAGCAGCAAAAGCAATATATGAAGATGATGAAGCATTCTTAATCATCATCAGCTTGCCCTTTGCAGATATTCAAAGAGTGAAAGTCACCTGGAGAAACACTAATTCACATGGAATTGTCAAGATATCTTGTGTAAGTACAGCCTGCATGCCATTTATTAAGAGACATGATAGGACATTTAAGCTAACAGATCCAACACCAGAGCACTGCCCTCCAGGGGAATTCATTCGGGAAATTCCCCTTCCAAACCGCATTTCAGAAGATGCTAAACTGGAAGCATACTGCGATGAGACAGGTACAATGCTTGAAATTATTGTCCCCAAACATCGTGTCGGACCAGAAGAACATGAAGTCCACGTATGCCTTCGCCCTCTCCTTGGAGTGAATGGGCATTTGTCGAGCTGAAAGATGCATTTATTTGAAGATGTAAGGACGGTTAGACTGGTTAGTGCTTCATTGATTACTAACCCCATTCCATAAAGGAAATTTATGAAATGATATTTGCATTTTTTTTCTCCGGATTACATGTATTTTCTATTCATTAAGCTTTCTTATTCTCTATTGTGTTTTTGAAAATTATTTTAGGCTTCACTAGGTAAGTAATCATCACGGTTGGGGGGAAGAGAATAGCATAGGAAGAAGAATCTTAACTTGTCATCATTACGAATATCATTGATTCAGTTATCAAGAGAAATGCCAGTCCCAGTGCTGATTTTAAGCATTCAGTTATCTGGACTTGTTTCAGGAGCATGTATAATATGGCTTCTGCCACTGGTATGTTCTAGTGAGATATTATATTACATTTGTGGGAGCTTTGTCTTTCAACATTTCTTCAAAGCTGTAATACAAGTTTCATCCACAACCGATGCAACTATGCATGCTTTATAGATCACGCATAGTTTTGGTTGAAACATTGTATTATCAGGAGGGATTTGTTTTATTAATGTGACATTTGCAGATCTTTGCTATAATAACATGTTGGCTTGGTAATTAGTTGATCATTTACGAAGCAAACAAGCATGATAAGCTAACATGGTGAAGCTATCTTCTTCATCTCACTGATAATATAAGATTCTCAAATGAATTGGCCTTGCCCTCTCCATTTTAATCCCTAGCTTGTCACACTTAGAACACCTGCATAATACTTGGAATGCACATCGCAGATTTTGGAATGATTATGGTAGCTATGATAGTTGTTGGTGGGATGCGGAAAGATTGGAAAGCCATCAAAATTAGATGGTCTTTTGCTTATCAAAATTCCCTTTTGCTTTTTCACTTTGGCACTAAATCACATAGCTATAGGTCCCTTGAAACACTAATTGGAGGTGGGTGCCCATGCACTATACAAAGGAAGATTGACTTAACGACCTTTTTATATTTAGTATCTTTGAAGGATATTATAGTGGGACATAAATCGCAATTATTGCGCCTTTTCCCACTTCGTGAAACTACTTAGTGAAATAGACATCTGGGAAAATAGCTTTTCTGCAATAGTCAAACAGCCAAAAGAACATATTTCAGTAATTGCTTGTAACATCAAAATTTAGACCCATGGATGCCTTTGACAATTCCTATTCCTATATCAATAATACAGCCGGCCAACCGATAATTTTTTATCCTTTAAAGGGTGAAAGGCAAGAATACTGTTGTGCCTAAAAAAGGGCTTTACAACGCACATGACAAATCCAACAATGCAACATTTCTAATATCGTCCAGACACTTACTAGTTGATGGGCATGACTAACCGCGTGAGCCCCACCACCTCTTCTCCTGTACCAATAATTGATGTGGGACACAAATTTTCTCACATAGCAACTTCATTAATGATAGTTTCTGTTGAAACAATGAGAATACTGTGGCAACACTCCAATTTCTTTTGTTGAATGGATTAAAATTTAAAACTTGTGATTAATTGTAAGCAATCATGAAGAATTTTAGCTAGTCTTGTAATGATAGCAATCAGAAACTTAAAAACAATCAAAAAGAAAAATACTACACAATATATTAAAGTTAAATATCAAATAGATAACAAAAGTAGCAGTTCAACAAAAAGAAACGCCTTCTCAAAATAACTGCTCAATAAAACCAGCAAACAGAAACGCCTCCCTTCCCAGTACCCAACTGCTCCACAAAACACCACCACCAAAAAACATTCTAAAAAGCAGCTTAATCTACTTCTTCGATCTTAGGGCCAGCACTACTGCCACCAGCTGGAGGAGCATCCTCGTCCATGCCACCTGCCATGTCAGGACCGGAACCCTGGTACATCTTGGCAATGATAGGGTTGCAGATGCTTTCAAGCTCCTTCATCTTGTCCTCGAATTCATCTGCTTCAGCCAGCTGGTTGGCATCTAACCAGTGGATAGCTTGTTCAATGGCATCCTCAATCTTTTTCTTGTCGTCTGCAGCAAGTTTAGAACTGATCTTCTCATCTTTCACTGTGTTCCTCATGTTGTAGGCATAATTCTCCAAAGCATTCTTGGCGTCAACCTTCTTTTTGTGTTCCTCGTCCTCTGCTTTGTATTTCTCTGCCTCTTGTACCATCTTTTCAATCTCTTCCTTGGACAACCTCCCCTTATCATTTGTGATAGTTATCTTGTTCTTCTGGCCAGTGGTTTTATCCTCGGCAGACACATTTAAGATACCATTAGCATCAATATCAAAACACACAGTGATCTGAGGAACACCCCTTGGAGCTGGAGGAATGCCAGATAGCTCGAATTTTCCTAACAAGTTGTTATCCCTGGTTCTTGCTCTCTCACCCTCGTAAACCTGGATCAAAACACCAGGCTGGTTATCCGAGTAGGTAGAAAACACCTGCTCCTTCTTGGTGGGAATGGTGGTGTTCCTTGGTATCAAGACGGTCATAACACCTCCAGCTGTTTCTAGTCCAAGAGATAGAGGGGTAACATCCAAGAGCAACAAATCTTGCACTTTCTCATTGCCCTCACCGCTTAAGATTGCAGCCTGAACAGCTGCTCCATAGGCAACAGCCTCATCAGGGTTTATGCTCTTGCATAGCTCCTTTCCGTTGAAAAAATCCTGCAACAACTGCTGCACCTTAGGAATTCTAGTCGAACCACCAACAAGAACAACATCATGTACACTGCTCTTATCCATCTTAGCATCCCTCAAACATTTCTCGACAGGCTCCATACACTTCCTGAAGAGATCCATGTTAAGCTCCTCAAATCTGGCACGGGTAATTGTTGTATAGAAATCAATACCCTCATATAACGAGTCAATCTCAATTGTTGTCTGAGCAGTAGATGAGAGAGTCCTTTTAGCCCTCTCGCAAGCGGTCCTCAACCTCCTAAGAGCTCTAGGGTTTCCAGAGATATCCTTCTTGTGCTTTCTCTTAAACTCTTGTACAAAATGATTCACCATTCTGTTATCGAAGTCCTCTCCTCCAAGGTGAGTGTCACCTGCAGTAGCCTTTACTTCAAATATACCCTCTTCAATGGTAAGTAGTGAGACATCAAAAGTCCCACCACCCAGATCAAAAATCAAGACATTCTTCTCACCAACGCTTCCAGCCTTCTTATCAAGACCATAAGCAATAGCTGCGGCAGTTGGCTCATTAATAATGCGCATGACATTGAGGCCAGCAATTACACCAGCATCCTTTGTTGCTTGGCGTTGAGAGTCATTGAAATAAGCAGGGACAGTAACAACTGCATTCTTAATTGTGGATCCAAGATAAGCCTCAGCAATCTCACGCATCTTAATCAGAACCATAGAAGAAATCTCCTCTGCAGAAAATTGTTTCTCCTCACCCTTGTATGAAACCACAATCATAGGCTTGTCACCTGGACCAGCAATAACCTTGAATGGCCATAGCTTCATGTCACCCTGTACAGAGGGATCACTGAATCTCCTCCCAATCAAACGCTTAGCATCTATCAATAACATAAATGCATACTATCAGCAACCCAACCGCTTCCAAGTTCAACACAAAAAACTTATACCAATTTCAAATTTCCTAATTAGTTGATAATTCCTAAATCAGTTCAAGTTATTTCATACTAAACAAATTCACAAAAAGTGGATAAAGAAACCTTCTTGAAATAATTTTATCCAAGAAACATAAGAATTAGCTGCTAATCTATTATCTACGGGCACCCTTATGGTGACTATTTCTAAAATAATAAATCATGATAATTCTTATAACTTCTTAATATGGGCTGGACATAAATCATGTTCCAATAACAACTTCCATAGATTCATTATAGTTAGACATAAGACATGTCATTACTGTTAGTTAAAATAGCTTCGAAGAAACAAAGATCAATTTGAAAAGATTATACCTTCCTTACGCTCTTGCTATTAGGGGTATCTATTAGCTTAAAAAGAAACAGTGATCATGTTTGTATTATTAGAATCTTTATTGCATAAGAGCAAACAAAAAATTTGCAAAGCTGAAAAATTTTGAAAATATCCAAGCCAACAAACAATATTTACTCCTTTTTGGAAAAAAAAAAAGGAGAGAAAATTTAAAAGTTTGCTACACAGTACTCACCAAAGACAGTGTTGATGGGGTTCATGGCGACCTGATTCTTAGCAGCATCCCCGATCAAACGCTCCGTGTCAGTGAAAGCGACATAAGACGGTGTCGTTCTATTTCCCTGATCATTAGCAATAATTTCAACTCTGTCGTGTTGCCAAACGCCGACGCATGAATAAGTCGTTCCGAGATCGATACCGATCGCTGGTCCTTCTCCTTTTCCGGCCATCGTAGAAATCAACGAATCAGATTATCACGAAGAGACAAAGACTTGGAAAACAGGGTTTACTCTTGTAAGATCTTTTCTATTCCTCTTGTATGGTATTGGTAGAAAATATAGGCAGTTCCCGGTACTTGGAGGTGTCATTATTTATATATGGTTTGCTTTTAAGGTTCGAGAACGTTCGGAAGGAATCTCAGCCGTTGGATTTTGAATGTACGGACGGTGTGGCACGTAAACAGTAATAATTATTACTAATTATTATTATTATTAAAGTTTCTGGTTGGTTCTTGAATCTTCTATAACGGTGTCTGAAGGTCGGCGAACGAAATATCTTCTACGACTGCGCTTCCGGCACGAACACGATATGAAATCTCGCCTGACGGCTGTCGGTGACTCGCTCGTTATGCGGGTTGGGCTTGTCTTTGGGCCTCCAATTTTGTTATCTCGGTTCAATTCTGGCCCATTGAAATCTACTTTCATTATAATTATAATTTTTTTTATAGTATCGAGGAATAACGGATTTAAACCAAGATTTATTATCAATTCATATATGTAGCTACTAATAGGTAATGTTTTAGTGTGCGAAAAACTATTATAATATTAAACTTAAGTAATCTATCTATTATAATACATATATCCCTATTTTCAGTCTACTTAAATTAATGATTCACTCGTTAATGCAAATTTAAATTTTAAGTCTTAAATTTATTAATATTTGAATTGATCTCAAACTCAATATTAGTTGTAGTTTATTTGAATTATGCTTTTAATGCAAGATAGGTCCATCGTCAAATATCATACAAAACATATGGATTAATATCCCTTTAAATATCTATTGATATGAAAACAAAATATTCATGCTCATGGCATCATGCTATTATTTTCAAATTATATCTTAAAACAAAATTGAAAGGGTGAATGAGATATGAAATCTCAATTTTATTTTTCTAAAGGAACGAACCTATTGATTTCGTTGCAATAAAATTAAATTCTCATAAATAATTAATGAAGATATAATATTTATTAATTTGTTTTCAAATGAAATACATTATGTATATTAATATGAATTTCATTGGACTAAACTTCCTTTGTTGCAGTTAAGAATAAATAAATAGTCGAGCAAGATACAAGGAAAACGAACAATATTAGAATTTGTAAACATTCTGTTCTAGATTACCAACAAGATTTTATTAATGCCTCGTAATTCAAAATCTGGCAGATCAAAATAAGAAAGGAAGCTAGAAATTAAATAGTAAGAAATTTATCAATTCAAAAAAGAATTGCATGTAATGGCCATCTTCTTCTTCTTCTTCTTCTTCTTCTTCTTCTTGGACCAAAAAACATTATGCTAGCATGATAAGGGTCTCTCTTCTCAGACAAGGATAGATGGAGGAGGGTGCAAATTTCCAATGGGGTTGGGTCCTGATGGGGACTTATTATGAACTGTTTTTTTGACCTGTCTTCCAGATATCTTGAAATACAAAAATAAATAAATTAGTGGTTAAGTTCAAAATGAAATCATAAATAATGATACATGGTAATTACCCTAGAAACAGAAATATATCTGGTACTGGGAGAGCTTGGCTTGGGTTGTGCATTTCTCAGCCTGGAATCAACTACAAGAAGCATAAAAACAATGAGTTCCCTTGTAACTATAATACCAATCATGATCGAATTAAACTGGAAAAAAAAAAAAAAAGAATAGACAACTAGAAGTGTATGTATATATATATATATAGTGGGTTGCCTGATTCTGCAGGATGAAGCAGTAACGCAGAAGAGCAATGGCACTGAGAAGCAATGAAGAGCGCAAGGAATGAACATGCTAAAATCTGCTTTGGCTTCATTTTCGGGCATGGGATTGTGTGAATTAACAAACAACATTTATAAACAGATTCTTTTGAGTATTAATAATTGCTAAGTTTGAATTCTAAGAGGGTGTCTTGGAATCCTATGCCTTTTACATTTAACTTCATGAACCCAGAAATGTCTATATCTTGTCATTATAGGTTGACCTTTTTTTTTCTTTTTTCTTTTTTTTTTTTTTTTTTTTTTTGGGATTGGTGAATTAACAAACAAACATTTATAAACAGATTTCTTTTTGAGTTATTAATAATTGCTAAGTTTGGAAATTCTAAGAGGGAATGTCTTGGAATCCTATGCCTTTTACATTTAACTTCATTGAACCCAGGAAATGTCTATATCTGTCATTATAGGTTGACCTTTTTTTTTCTTTTTCTTTTTTTTTTTTTTTTTTTCTTTTGGGATTTTTTTTTTTTTTTTTTTTTTTCTTTTGGAATTTCTTGGATTAAATATATAATAAACCCATTATTAATGTTGTTCTCCTAGTGCCCAACCAAAAGCTTTTTTTGTGATTCTCCTTTGAATTTTTTTATGTAGCATTGGTGCAAGAATCACTTTTACAATTTTCATATTAGATAATTGTTCTGCTACATAGTATTTAAGGAAAGTCCTATCAAGAGCTAATTCAACTACAAATGTTTTTACAGGTGCTGTATGGTATTTAAGTAGCCAGATGGTATCTAAATAAACTCCTTGCAGTAAAATTCAGTTGGAATGCAGTCCAGTTCTACTAATGTAATCGCTAATTGATAAATTTTACTTAAGTTTTAACACATATTTTCATTGTTTCATTTTTAATTTTGATTTGTTTTCAGCAACAGTTCTTTTTTAGTAATTTTTAGAGTTTTAACTAGTCAAAACGTTAAATATTATTATTTCTAGTGTTCGATAATATAACATTTGAACTAATTTTTAGAGGGTAAAAGTGTTTTATAAAAGGTTAATCCTGTAACGTTAGTTTTTACCATTTTATTGAAAAACTACTTAAACAGCTATTAGCTACTAGAACAGTTAAACAACTATCAAAATAGCTAATTTTGTCTAACCGTTTTTTCATTTAAACCTTAATTGGGACTTTCTTTGCGTATGCAATTAACTAATCATATAAAAAACATGATTGGAATTCCCTATTCACGTTCACCCAACAATAATTCATGTAAATGCAAAAAAAAAAAAAAAAAAAAAAAAAAAAAAAAAAAAAAAAAAAAAAAAAGCACAATAGCTTTATACTAAGTGAAAAAAGCTTAGCCCGTGTGTTCATCAAAATGAAAAAAAAAAAAAAAAAAAAAAAAAAAAAAAAAAAAAAAAAGCACAATAATCTTTATACTTAAGGTGAAAAAGCTTAAGCTTTGCATCAAATTCAAGAAGCACATTGATTAGGAGCATCGTGCATATAAGCTTATGAGTGTGGAAAATAAGTCTTAGGAGTGGGACACCACTTATAAGAGAGGAGAAAAACCTTATCAAGGTAATGATTCTAAATCCCTTAATTAATCAGACAAGACAACTTATAATGATCTAATTACTACTATTTGAATTAACTTTTTTGTAGGTTTATTAGGCAATTGTCACATTCACTTTTAGGGTTGTCGATTAAAAGTAGTTTGTCTGCTTTAGATTCCTGTTATTCTTGTGGTTGATTTTTCTTTCATTTTCTTTTTATTCTTCGAAAATAATTATGGTAATAAGTCCTTAATCTTATTTGTCGGAAGTGAAATATTTTATTTTCATGGAATTTTTAATATCGATGTAATGATTTACTAATGTCAAAATTAAAATAAAGAATTTAATATAATATGCAAAAGTTAATCAAATAAAAAATGTTATTAAATTAGAAAAATAAAATAAAATTGTAGTATATCATCTTATAATCTTATTGTTAAACATTTACATGCAGTAATTAGTTTTTTCTATTCATAAAATAAAAAATGTTTGATCTTAAAATATATAAATTGCCATACTGGGATACAATTGTGCACATACCTTCAGGTGCCAAAGGTCTTGAGTTTAATTATCAGAATGCCCCCAAATGATGTTTTAATCAAATTTTATGTGGGCCTATGGGCTTTTTTTTGTGTCTCTTATTAACGAATCTCAGATGACGTCGCTGCTTTTATTTGGGCCTTCGGCTTTCTGGGCTTTTTGGCGTTTCTCACACTAATGTAGAACCTAGGCTTTTGTTGTGTCTCTCTTATTAATGTAAATCTTAGATAACTTGCCCTGCTTTTATTTTTAGCTGTTCTTTTGAACTAGCTTTATCTGCTTTAACATGTGATATAAATAATAAAAATATTAATTACATTTTATAACAGTATTTACTAGTTATGTGTATATTAATTTTAAATAATACAAATAAATATTTACTTTAAAAAAATAATTATGGTAGTGATTATCTTAATAGAAAATATCTAAAAGTCAAGTCTATCTGATGACGTTATTTTGTGCAAATAAGGATATTTTGTCCTTTTACAAAAAAAGAAAAATATAAAGAACTCTGACAATTTTTCCACACAACAATTTGCTATTGGCTTGGTGTGTCGGTAGTACCATGTCAATACATTCTTCAATCTTTATAAGATTAATATAATCCAAAACCTTATACAAATAAAAATTAGTTAGCGGCTAATAAAAAGAGAAGACTCCAAATGTAATTAACTAATTGAAATTTCTATCAGCAACAAAATATTGATTAATAATTTTTTCTGAAATGCTAAAAGTTAAATATTAAATGATTTAATTTATATTGTCGAATACTATAAAATATAGCGTTTAACCAGAACTATTTAAAAAGTTATTGCCGAACACAATCTAAAATTTATATACCAAGCAATTACTTTTTTGGACAGAAAGAAGAAATCTTTGAGTTGGCTGATTACAATTCCATAGATGAAGTCAAAAAAGAGCATAAACAAATATGGAGGAGGTCTGTTTGATCTGCTAAGAGCAATAAGAGCCATGATTTTGGAGATGCTTTTATGGCTTCCATGTGAGATGGCCAAAACCAGACCACCTTTCAAGAACTAGCATGGAATAAAGTGATTCTTGCTTGGACTGTACAAGCAAAAGGAATGATAATAGTAGTCATAGAGCTATCTATAGTATTCCTAAATCTCAAAAATTTGAGTCCAACTTGAATTTGTGAGATTCCAATCTTTATGTCTATTCTTCAATAATTTTATATTTTTATCATTGCATTTTCTTTTGCACACAGGACAGTGACTTTGAGTTTTGAAAATCTTGATTTTACATAATTCACATGTAAATAGCAATTTACTTATGATGTTTAATGCATCATAATTAATTTAATAAAATGAGAATCTTGAAAATGTATCACTATGCACTTTGTGTGGTAGATCTTTAACTGCAGGCTGAAAGGTCTATATTGTATATATTTCTGTCAAAGGCCAAATACAAACTCTAAATAAAAGTGAAAAGAGACAAATAATACAATTTAGAGGGTAAGATTGAGAAGCTCTCTATTGGAAGAAGAAGAACAAGTTGCACATTCAAGAGTGGATATTTTTTGTGCCCACTTAATTTTTGTTCATAGAATTAAGGTATATATATATAAAACACTAAAATTTGTAATTTGCATAAGATTTATAATTTTTTTAGGCCCATTAAAAATTATACAGCATGCCATTTAATATATTAAATCATGGCTCGAGATGTGATGAAAATTACATAATTTTCAATCTCATTCTAAAATATCAAAATATAAAAATAGTCTCATTCCATTCCATCCCATTTCAATAATATTCAATGAAATGAAAATTCAAATTAATGGGATAAAATAGATGGGTCTGGAATTAATCGGATTTTTCATATTTATTTATAGAAAAAGATTACTATAATTAATAATTGTAATGAAATAAAATTCATCAATAATTTCTAATTCACTATTAAATTCATGATAACAAGTAAGTTGCTACCATCTAGTCAATAAGAATATCAAGTATAAAACAAAATAATTCAAAGTACTCGGTATAGTTAAATTTATATATATATTATAAATTTAAACTCATCATTGTTACGTATATTTTACGAAATTTAACTCATTATTGTTATTTTGAAACAAACTGATTTTAATAAAAAAATCAGTCTCATTTCATATACCTTCCGGCTAAAACGATTAAATTTATATTAAATTTTTTAGGAACAAATTCAAAATTTGGCAATCTCATACACATCTCTAATAAGAATCGCGTGTAATATCATCTTCCCATCGAATTGAAAAAAAAAAAAAAAAAAACCAAGAAATCGGCGTGTCAATATAATCTCGCCAATCGAAATTGAAAAAAAAAAAAAAAAAAAAAAACCTGTATATATAATCTGTTAATATAAAAAAAAAAAAAAAAAAACCTGTATATATAATTTGTTAATGACAAGATTAACATAACTGATAAGTAATATGTTTAGCATTCACATTATTATCATTTAATTAGAGTTTGATTGGTGGATGTTTATTTGAGTTATATGTTATTGTATTAATATTATTATTAGAAATTAAAAATTAACTAGTTGTAGTTAGTTAGTCTTCTCACATTTTTCTATAAGATGTGAAAAATACGAGGTCTCGGATTCAATTTTATAATGATCTTAAATTTATAAACGTAAGATATTTTTAGATTTGGATTAAATTCAAATTCAACTATGAAATTACTAATTTTCCTAAAAAGAATTATGACATCATATGTGGATTTGGATTATAAAATTATTAACTTTTCTAAAAAATTAGGAAAAGTATTAGAAGTATATAAAAAAATTTTTATGTGACTACCTATTACAATTTTAAAATATTAATTAATAACTAAGTAGGAAAATTGAATAGAAATTAGAAAATTATTCATAAATTTAAATTTTAATTAAAAAAAAATTTCAAAATAGGAGAAATCCAAGCTGGCTCGATATACTTATAAGATCCCCCCCTCTTGGGTTTTGAGAGAGAGAGAGAGAGAGAGAGCATAAAGCTGAAGTCCTAAACGGAACTCAAAATTCTATTCGGTTCTCTCTCATTTATAAATACCAAAGACTAAATTCACAATCCAAAGGTTTTATTATATACAACAGCCTCTCTACCTCTTATTGTCTTTCCCTCCCTTCTCTTGCGCTGTCCGTGTTTTTGTTTTTGTGTGTGTGTAAGCAGTAAGCTAATCAATGGCTGTGTCTCAAGCCAGTCTCCTCCTTCAAAAGCAGCTCAAAGGTCAACAACCCATCACCAAACCAAAACAAACCGATTTTTTTTCCCCTTTAACAAATTGGGTGTTTTTGTTTGTTTATCAAAGTTTTGTTTTTTAATTTTAATTTTTTGATTTTGCAGATCTCTGTAAGAACCCTGTTGATGGATTCTCAGCTGGTTTGGTCGACGAGACCAATGTGTTTGAATGGAGTGTTTCAATTTTGGGACCCCCTGATACCTTATAGTGAGCACTCCAATTCTTCTTTCTATGTGTTGCTTGAATTAATATTTTTATTTTAAAATTCTTTTGGCTTATTTGGATATTTTGTTTATTTTTGTATTTGAATTCGGTCTAAGGGTGTTTGGATAGTTATTTGGCTTATTTGATGCAGGGTTATAACCTCTTTGTGGGTATGTGTGTTTGGGTTGATTTTTGTTTAAGCACCGCATTTTTAATGTGGCTGATGAATGTTACTCTCAGGGTTTATGGGTTTTTATTTTGGGGATTAGATTGAAGGCTGCCTGATTTTGGCATAATCATTGTTGAAAGTCTCAATTTTTCTTGATCAAATTTCAAATTTTAATATCTTTTCTTTTGAATTGAAGTGTAGCGGTTATTTAATTTTGATTATGATCTTAACACTCATGCTTGAGAAGCTACCTAGAGCTTGATGTGATGACAGCTGATTATTGATTGTTCACTGGATTGGATTTTTTTTTTTTTTTTTTTTTTTTTTTTTTTTTTTTTTTTTTTTTGGCATATAATGAAACTATTTATGCATTAATTTGTTTCATTAATTTCTTATGTTTGGTGATAATATAGCGATAAGGCCGATGGAATTTTGTTGGCTTATTTTTGGATTATGAAGTTGAAATTATGTTGTTTACTAACAATCAATTCTCCTTTTGCAGTGAGGGGGGATTCTTCAATGCAATCATGAGCTTCCCACAGAACTATCCGCTTAGTCCTCCAACTGTGAAGTTCACTTCAGAGGTGTGGCATCCAAATGGTGAGTACTTTGATTCTTAATATTTCCTACTTTAATTGTATATTAAGAATTTACATTATATATAATGCCTGCAAGCATGTTTATCTGAGATGGGAAAACTGATCTTGTTTGCCACCTCTGAACAGTTTACCCAGACGGAAAGGTTTGCATATCAATTCTTCATCCACCTGGTGATGATCCAAATGGCTATGAGCTTGCAAACGAGCGGTGGACTCCAGTCCACACAGTATGTGATTCTATTATTTTGTTTAGTACTGTCAATAAAAATAATTTACATTTTTCTCTTCATGCTTTTGCTTTTGCTTTCGCTTATTAAAGATGGGATGGAATCTTTTTTTGTCATTGTTGCTAATGCTAATAGCTGCATTGAAACTACTGTGCTTTTGCTCTTACTTCATTTGTGAAATATGTATATTTTTTCTTCTTCTGTATTGGAATGCTGCAAGTGTTGGAACAGCTTTCTGTCACTTGCAGTTCTCAATTATTGCTTCATTCGTCAATAAGGATGTGTGCCAAAAGAGATATGCATGCATGTCCCAACTCCTTAAGTTAACTTTCTGGCATGAACATCCAATGGCTATTCTGATTGGCAGTGCACCTTGATGTTTTTCAACCATATGGACAGAAACTTGAAATGACTGCAAGACTGAATGGCCCATCAGTTTATAGGAGCTTAGTTGTTGTAGCCCATATTGCAGTGCTTTTTATTGAGCCCTGGTACAACTCTAGTTTACATGAGCTAGCTTGGGGTTTGGTTAACCAATGGATGCATGGGAAACTGAAGCAAGCACTTTGCAAAGGATTGTGAGTGTCATTGATGAAGTACATGAAAGTGAAATTTTGTGACTTTCATCTTTAATTCTTTGCATAAAGGGAGAAGCCTAATTGAAGTCAGAACACCGGAAAAGAACTTTGTATCCTTAATTCTTTGATAAAAGGGACCACAGCCGAAAACGAAGTCAGAACACCGGAAAAGACACTTGTGCCAAAAGAGAAAATGCATGCATGTACCAACTCTTAAGGTTACAACTTTCTGGCATGACATCCGATGGCTATTCTGCATTGGGCAGTGCCCTTGATGTTTTTCAACCATAGTGGACAGAAACTTTGAAATGACATTGCACAGAACTGGGAATGGCCCAATCAGTTTATAGGAAGCCTAGGTTGTAAGCCCATAATTGCGATGTGCTTTTTAATTGAGCCCTGGTACAAACTCTAGTTAATTGAGCTAGGCTTGGGGTTTGGTTAACCGAATGGATGCAATGGGAAAGCTGGAAGCCAAGCACTTTGCAAAGAATTGTGAGTGTCCATTGATGAAGTAACATGAAAGTGGAAATTTTTGGAACTTTCTCATCTTTAAATTCTTTGCATAAAGGGAGAAGCCTAATTGAAGCAGAACACTCGCGGAAAAGAACTTGTGTGCCAAAGAGATAATGCATGCATGTCCCAAACCCTTAGTTAAATTTCTGGCATGAACACTCCGATGGCTACTTCTGATTGGCAGTTGCAGTCCTGAGTATTGTTTTTCAACCATATGGACAGAAAACTTGAAATACTGCAAAGACTGAGGCCCATCAGCTTTCATGGAGCTTTAGTTGTTGGTATGCCATGAATCTGCGGTGCTTTTTAATTGACTGGTACACACTGCTAGTTACTGAGCTAAGCTTGGTTTTGTTTAACGACCTAAAATGGATGCCATGGGAAGACGAAGCAAGCACTTTGCCAAGGATTTGTGACTTGGCATTGTTTTAGAAGTACATGAAAAGTGAAATTTTGTGAACTTTCATCTTTAATTCTTTGCATAAAGGGAGACAGCCTAAATCTGAACGCAGAACAGCCGGATAAAAGAACTTTGTGCCAAAAGAGATATGTGCCCGCATGCATGTCCCAACTGCCGTTATAGTTAACTTCTGGTCAATGATCCACCCGATGGCTATTCTGATTGGCAGTGCACCTTGATGTTTTTCAACCATATGGACAGAAACTTGAAATGACTGCAAGACTGAATGGCCCATCAGTTTATAGGAGCTTAGTTGTTGTAGCCCATATTGCGGTGCTTTTTATTGAGCCCTGGTACAACTCTAGTTTACATGAGCTAGCTTGGGGTTTGGTTAACCAATGGATGCATGGGAAACTGAAGCAACCAATTTGCAAAGGATTGTGAGTGTCATTGATGAAGTACATGAAAGTGAAATTTTGTGACTTTCATCTTTAATTCTTTGCATAAAGGGAGAAGCCTAATTGAAGTCAGAACACCGGAAAAGAACTTTGTGAAGCGGCCTGGGGTTGAGTGTCAGATTGTTGCTAGATATGTGATTACTGTTAATTTTGGAACCCCTGATGAAAAAAATGAACATTATGCAGTGCAAAAGGAAAATTCTTAAATGTTCATTTATCATTAAGTTCATTCAAAAATAGACTGTAAACATCTCAAGTAACTACGAAACAAGGTCCCAAGGATAGTTGCATAAAAGAAATTGATGGCTGGCAGAAGAAATACACCTCCCTCTTGTCATTTGCTTACTCATAGGAAATTAGAGAAGAGTTGGAAATTTTCATTTCTACACAGATTTATATTGAATTTTTCCATTATTATCTTCAAATAGCTCTTCGTTTTATCTAAACCTGACAAGTAATTAAGTATTTCTTACTGGACTCAGAGGTTCTATTGTCTTTGTTTCACATGCATGCTTACTGTAAATATTTTGCACAATGTTTTTTTTTTTTTCCTCTTTTGGTCATTATCTACTTTTTGATGTATTGATATTCCTTGTCCTGTTACAAAATCTTGGTTGACCTTTTGTGATTGTAATTTCCAGGTTGAAAGCATTGTTTTGAGCATCATATCGATGCTCTCTAGTCCGAACGATGAGTCTCCTGCAAATGTTGATGCTGCTGTAAGTCTCTGATATCAATTACTTTTGTTAAGATTCCCTGTGCACAATTGCTTTTGGTGCCTGTCTGCTAGGATTAAGAATTGTTGGACTGTAGAAAATTCAGGTATTTTTGAATAATTGTAGGTTTTATAAACCAGTGGGATTTTGATATTAGAAAATATGAAATTTTAAGATCAAAATATAGGTGAACTCTAATTCTCAAGTCAAGTTTGGTCATAGCTTCACGAAGATTAGATTTATAATGAACATTTAAGCAATATTACTGTTATCAATAACCATTGCAATTGGTGAGCAACCCATCAAGTTTGCTGCTGTCAAACGCATCACTCTGACCATAACTACAACATTGCTCCAATCATCACCCTGATAAAAAAACCACCACCTTTACTCTTGCACTAATGCCACTACTGTTATGATGATGATTACATTTGCGCTAACCATCGTCATAAATGGTTCATAAATGGTGCAGTTTCACCACCGACGCCTACAAATCACCAGCAAACCAACAATTACTATACTAGGTCTTGGAATTTGTTAGTGCATTTATGGGTTTTGGTTCCACCTTTGCCATAATAGAGTAGCAGATTTAACTGCTATACGAGTTTTTTTTTTTTTTTTTTTTTTTTTTTTTTTTTTTTTTGTCAGATTCTATTTTATGTGGTCTACTCTGTGAATGGTCTTAACACTTCTTGTTTTTTTTTTTTTTTTTTTGTCAGATTCTATTTTATTGTGGTCTACTCTTGTGAATGTCTTTAACACTTCTGTTTTGTATGTCTACAGAAACAATGGAGAGAAAGCAAGGAGGAGTTTCGGAAGAAAGTGAGTCGATGCGTGAGGAAATCACAAGAAATGCTATGATATGATCCAATAGACTGCTGCATTGCTTGCTGCTGAACATCTTTAAAAATGAAATCTTCAATCATGGAAGGGGGAGACGAGGCCATAAGATCTTATACTGAACCGTGTAACATTCTATTTAAGTTTTTGTTATCAATCAATCCATTATATTCCTTTTTGGGCATCTCTGAGAGAATTGTTGTTAGTATGGACTAGAATAAACCTGAGTTGGTTAATTCAAATCTTAGAGGTTTTATTTTCTTGAAATGACTTTTACAATAATAGTATTCTTTAATTTAATTTTTCCAACTTGGAACTACAGGATGCAATATATTGTGTGCCTTCTTAACCAATTTCGCCCCCGTTTTTTTTTTTTTTTAAACTAATATCTAAACCTCTCTCGATTCCCTTTCTTCCAGCATTTCTAAAAATTGAGAGCATCGATAAACTCAAGAAAATGAGTCAACCTTATCAGAATCCTGAAACCACAACCATCAACACCGGAATAACATTCCTGAAATTCTCCTGGAGGTATCCATCGATTTCACCCTTCCCTTCTCTTGGCTGATAATACCAACACCAGCATTGCCATCCCATGGCCATTCTCCATCCTATCAGAATCCTGAAACCACCACCACAATATCGGGGATAATATTCCTGAAAATCTCCCCCAGGAATCCATTGATTTCACACTTCCCTTCTTTGAAGCTAATAAAATTTAGTCCTCTGTTTGTCTCTTCTTACTCATTGCCAATTCATTGGATCACTAGTTTTGATTCAATCCGATAGTTTAAATTTTTTAAAATGTTAAATCTGAATCGGCCTCTAAACAATCAATTTCGGTCCCATTTCGATTCCAACCAATTTAGATTATAGTTTTGGCGATACACTTATTATTCTTTCCAGAAAAAATAATAGAAATTCATTCTAGGGTTACGAAAAATTAATGTAAATTTTAAAAAATAATAGTAAATTTTATTTTAACAACTTTTGAAATGGTCGTATTTGTATAAGAAATAAAATTCATTTACTTTAAAATAAATACAAAACAATGAAATAAATTATGATTTTATTTTTTCTAATGTTATTAATTAAATAAATTATACTGATTAAAAAAATTTAGAATCCTAGACCAATATTTCATTTTTTTTTTTTGACTTTTAACTTTTTAAGTCAAATATATCATATAGCACCATATTTATTTAGACATGTAGATGTGCATAAAATAAACTAACTGATTATAAAAATTTTAAAATATTAATAGCCTTTTAGGTTTGAACCGGAGTAGAACTGCAAGTTTTTGGGCCATTTTCAAAATTTTTGAAACAATAGTTTTAATTCGGTCGATTTATATATGATATAATTTAATTCCGATTCAATTTCAATCTAAATCGATCTATCTAACTATGCTTATCTCTTCTTATTTGTCCTGTCTATTATTCAAAAATTAATTAAGTCCTTACATTCTAGTAATTTCTTAATATTTTTTTATTTTTTATATAATAATTAAAAAATAATTAATTCACCTAAATTACACGAAATTGATATGGATTTGACTAGAACCTCGACTTATTGAAATGACAGCATGTACAAATCATCTTGAATGGTCCATAAAAGCTCAAACATTCGTGCTTCACTTCAGTCCTTGCGTATTTAGTTGAATGACTACTAATTTATACTTTGTGCAAATCGAGTGCCTACAAGTAATAATTTATTATTTATTTATAATTATGTAAACTATGATAAAATAATATTTTCTCCTCTATAAATACATGTCATATCTACAAAAATACCATATTTACAAATGAATGTCACGTTTATAGATTTAAGAAATAATAATTTTAATTTCATTTTTAACCTTTGCAAACTATGAACATCAATTGCTATCATTCTCAAAAATCTCTTTTTGTTATAAATAAAAATAATATAATCGATTTATTCATAATATATTATAAATTAGACAAATTAAATAAGAGACAAAAATAATATACATGTGACACTTATTTATGGACAAAAGAGTAATAATCTAACTCATGATTATATAAATTATATTTGGTAGAATATAGTAATATGAATCTCATTATATTATTATTGTATTATTATTATTATTATTATTATTATATTTATTAATAATATAATAATACTTATTATTATGAAGCATGCTTTTTTTTTCAATTTTCCTTTTTCATGTTGACTGAAATCACCAATTTATTCAATTTTCCATTGATTTGTGCATATATTATCTCAGATTTAATAGAAAAAAAAAAAAGGGAAAACAGAGATTAGGATGAGTAAAATAGAAATAAAATCCATTGAACATACTAAAATAGAAAGATGAGGATTATAATAAGTTAAAAAATAATAATAAAAAATAAAAAAAGTTAGAGGAAACTGATAACGTGAAGTTGCTTGTTCCGGTTGTATGGCAAACGGAAAACTCATGAAAAGGACTGTTGGCCATTTAGCAATCCAAATTCAGTTCACACTTGTACAACAGAAAAAGAAAGAGGAGACAACAAACAGCATAAACCTGCCCACCTCAAAAACAAGTGCCAAACCCATCACATAGCGCGTGACTATTATATTTGTTTTTAATAATTAAAGGTAAAAATATCCTTCATTTTTTCATTTCACATAAATATATATTTTTTTAGAAGAAAAATAAAAAATTTTCACCTCTCCAAATAAAAAAACAAAAGATATATTTATGAATTCGTTATTATGAAAACGTAATGTGTATACATCAACAAATATTTAATTTATGCGATAATCAAAGGTTATGTTGGATAAAATTAGATATTTTGATAGTTGTTAGTTATTTTAATAGCATTTAACGGTTAGTGTTTGAGTAGCTTTTTATAAAATGTTAAAAATTACTCACTTTATCCCAAAAAGATAATCCAACTTTTCTCTTTATTTTGTCCCAAAATATAGTACACTTTCTTTTTTTTTTTTTTTGCACTATAATTAATCATTGAATTGTCTACTATATTTTTAGTAAAGTTTACTTTATTTTCAATAATCTTCATTTAATTTTTATTTATCATTCCAATACTTATATGTTATTTAAGATGAGCATAATAAGAATGTTATATGAATTCAATTGTCCTTTAACCGTATTTCTTAATCTGTGTGAAAATAGAAAATGAACTATCTTTTTTAGACTGAGGGAGTATATGTTATATTATTTAACTTTTTACAAAAAGCTACATTAATCTTTAAAAGCTAATTCAAATGTTATGTTACCGAGCATTAACTTTTTATAAAATGATACATTAACTTTTAAAAGCTAGTTTAAATATTATGTTACCGAATATTATATTACCAGTTAAAATGCTAAAAATAATTATAATATTTTAGCACTATTGTGTCCTAACTCTCTCGACTCATTAAAAAAAAAAAAACATAAAGAGATTACAAGGATTTGATAGTGAGTAGAAAAAAAAAAAAGTTAAACATCGTATATTATTTTTCGAATATTTTTGACTCGAGTGTTTATCCTTAAATATAATTTAAGGACTTATATCTTATGCAGACAAATTTACAAGGGTGCATCTCTTCAAAAAAAAAAAAAAATTTACAAGGGTGCATTCCACACCTAATGGAGGCGCGTGATACAAGTGTTAATTACCAAAGGATAAAGCAAAGAAAACCTAGAAGCAACATCTTTTATTTTGCAAATTTTTTTTTTTAAAAAAAAAAGCAAGTTACAGTCTGACAGAATTAAACCCCACCATTCCTGCTTCTTGTCTGGCTGCCCTCTGCTCTTTTTACTCTCTTTCTCCCTTAAAATAAAAACACCCTCTCTAATCTCCTATCGTCCATCCTTTTTTCCTTTAATTCCAAAGCTTAAGCTTGCTTTCTTTTCAGTTTTCACCGCTTCCTTCACATTTCCTTCCTTCTACCTTTCCCCTTTCTTTATTTGCTCTTTCTTTTTGCCTTTTAACTTTCCCTCTTATTTTCCTTTTTCCTTTCTCACAAATCCCATATGAAACTCTTGCTATGTCCCGTGACTCCAGCTCTTTCATTCTCCATTTTATCCCTTTCTCTTTCTCTATTTCTCTCATGAATTCTTCTTCTTCTTCTTCTTCAGCTCAACATCACAACTATCACAATCAACCATCATGCGCTCCCCACAGTCCCTCCGTAACGGGGAGACTCCCTCGCCTCACCCGCGGATCCCTCCTCCACACTTCCACTCCACCGTTTCCGTTCAAAAGCTGAAGCGATTCAACTCATTGATTCTCGTCTTCCGACTCTCGACGTTTTGCTTTTCTCTTGCCTCTGCTGTTTTCACGCTCACTAACTCTAGGGGATCCGATTCCCCTCGTTGGTACGATTTCGACGCTTTCAGGTATCAATATCTTATACCTTTTCTTGAAAAATTCCTTTTCTGTCCCTGTTTGGTTGCTCAGAAAGTTTTCGATTCTTAAATTTTGATATTCTTTTTCAAATATTTTGGTTCCCGCTATTGCCGTTCTCAATTTTTTAAAGCACATAACTACAAGCTAGTATGTCAGGTACTAATATCCGTACTTAAATTATATTTTATTTTAAAATCCTATTTTGTTTCATTTTCCTTCACTTTCTCAGCAACCAAACGAAACTCTACTTCTCTTCAATTGCACTAAATTAAATTAACTAGTACTAAATGGGAAAAAAATTGACTAAGCAGGTACGTTTTCGCTGCAAATGCAATCGTTGCTCTTTACTCTCTCTTCGAAATGGCGGCCTCCGTTTGGGAAATTTCAAGAGGCGCAACTATTTTCCCCGAAGTTCTTCAAGTCTGGTTCGACTTCGGCCATGACCAGGTAAAAATGCACACTTCTAATTCCTAATTCCTAATTCCTTCTGTCTTCTCTTTCCTAGGGATTTTGACTTGGCGACAGCTTTAATGGCGTTTTTGTTTTGTGCGCGGTAGGTGTTCGCGTACCTGCTACTGTCGGCGGACTCGGCGGGGATGGCGCTGGCAAGAACGCTGAAAGGAGGGGACACGTGTACGGCTAGTAATGCGTTCTGCGTGCAATCATACATCGCGATCGCGTTGGGGTTTGCCGGGTTTCTGTTCTTAGGGTTATCGTCTTTGCTTTCGGGTTTTCGGGTCGTCTGTTTTATAATCAGCGGCTCTCGTTTTCATCTTTAGATTAATTAGGCAGAGAAAGGGAATATTTTGAGAGAGAGAGACGGAGGAGTAATGTTCTTTTTTTTTTTTTTTTTTTTTTTATTTTGAGAGAGAAGACGGAAGGAGTATGTTCTTTTTTTTTTTTTTTTTTTTTTTTGAACTTTTTACTGTTTGAGAGTACTGATTGCGAAGCTTGGGAGTTCGGGACTGATACAGTGTGAAATTTTTTTTTTTTTTTTTTTTTTTTGAACTTTTTACTGTTTGAGAGTACTGATTGCGAGCTTGGGAGTTGGGACTGATACAGTGTGAAACGTGTGTCGACTTATTTTTGTTGTGTTGGCGATTTAGCACTTGTTAGGATCCTGTACATGGGGTTTCTGTATTCTTTGTGTGTAGAATTATTTTTGCTAACGAAATTAATTAGCTTGAAGTTTTACAATCTGAAAATATATCGATCTGAGGTTTTATAATTTACTTTTCCATTTGAAGAATATGAATTGGTTTGACACAAGATGAAAAAGAAAAACTTAATTATGATTAAAGAAGCTTGTTCCAACATTGACTCATCATTACGATTGATAATCATTCTAATAATATAACCTTTTAGCTCCATATAAGTACCAGGATAAATATGTCACGCCAAAATATAAACATGTAAGGTAGTTACTTAAAAGACATTTCATGTCAAAATAGTTACTATATTTCAATTAACACTAAAAACGCATTTAATTGCATCACTAGCACTTTCACGAACGTGATTACAACAACAATGAACAAAGCACTTGCAAAAGTAACCAATTGCCTGAATGTCAAAGGCACCCAAATCTTAAAAAAGAGATCTTAGTAGAGGAAAGCATGCACAAGATATTCCACAATCTTCAACTTCATAATTTTCATGAAGAATTGCAATTAATAACTACTACTAACTCATTCCATGGACAAGCCTGATGATTATCCTCTCCAATCCCTCCATCCCATACAGAAACATCATAGCCAACACACAAAGATGATAAAGAATTGTTCATATGATAAAATAATCATTGCAATTAATCATAATAAGTCTTAATATATGAAGATAATTTGTAACTATAAATCATTCCAACAATGATGATAAATTGATAGTAACCAGAAAATGAATATACTGAACTAAAATTTTCCCCTGTACCGAGCTAACAAAATTGGCATGTTCTAAATATCATTTAGCCTCTTATCCAAGAAACATCTATTTCAGTTGCCTTCATATTTTGGGTCAGCCATCACATAATGGTAAGCTATCACCAAAACAAATATAAAAATGCCAAGGAAATTGGCGAAAAATCCCAGGTCTTGATCATCAAACATCTGCAAAAACAGAAATTCAAATTTATCAGTTACAAGCCCATACAATCTCCAATTTATCTTTATCGCCCTCAAATATTCAAAACCATACATTAGCAGTGTAATTATGTTATATGCACTCAGTTACATACTTCTTTGGCTGCAATGCTTTACATCACAAGAGAACAATAAAAGGAGAAATCTATTATTGCAATTTTGCAAGTTATTTCACCTAGGTTCATGAGCAGATTGATTTATCGCCATATTGCAGCTTCTTTAAGATAGAAACAGTTCATGCATGTGATTCTTCTACATATATAAATAAATAGGTTACAAGAGGATATCAATTAATATGAAAAATAGCAAAATAATAACATGAAACTACTGTAATATACAAAAAGGTATATTGAATTGAATCAGTAATTATCTCATCTTCTTCATCTGATCAATCTGAAACCTAAATTTAACATTTAGTCCAGTTGCATAAGTATTACTATTACCTAATCCAATTTGGTACCATGGCTTATGAGTAATCTTTGAGGACAGGAAATTGAAATTCCTGTCTCTGAGGCTAACTAATCATCAATCCAATTTACATCCACCTCAAAATAAATGTTCCAATATTTTTGACAATTGGAAGTTCAAAATTTATGAAGAACGAATCTTTCTTCTTCTCAATAAAATAATTGCAAAGAGATATTTACAAGCAGAAGTAAAATTGTTCAGAAGTATTACTTAGACAATAATAGAACTACAAGATGTGGATCAAATAAACTATTTCAAAGTTTATTAGATAACCTCAGCTTGATGAAGTATGAAAAAGAACAAGAAAAAAATGAGAAGAGAAATAAACTGCTTGCCAAAGTTCATTTCAAGCATGCATACTTTTCATTCACTGGGTGGCTGAAGTATTTTCATTGACGTCAAGAAATTATATTCATAAGCCAATCAATGACTCTACTTCCCATTGGGTTAATAGCCTAGCAATTGAATGCTTGCCACAGAAGTGCTCTGTCTTGGGATCAAACACTGGCAACTCCCCTTCCATTTAAGAATTCCTAACATACCCAATAAGCAATGACTCCCATTCCAATCACACAACACAAGTAACCAAAATTCAAAGCAATATTATCTAGTCATGTCATTGTTTGTCAGCACAAATAAATGGCAATGATGGTTTCGATACTTGTAATCTCTGTTACCCAGCATGAACATATTATTAATAAAAGATTACCATAATGAAATTCAAAGGAAAATCGCCAAGCTAAACAAAACAACAAATTTTCTTGCTTTCAAGATTCAAGTACCTTAAGTAGCAGAATTTGTACTTCAGATCCATTTTCAACTAATGAATTACAGCAAGACATATAATGAGCAAAAAAAATAATCCACAAGTATGCGATCGCAGTGGGATTCGAACCCACGACCTTTAGATCCGGAGTCTAACGCGATATCCACTCCGCTATGCGATCACATGTATTCATGGAATTGAAACTTTCACATTTGTTCAGTATTCAAAAACTAGTAGGATCATCCAAAGACAAAAACCACTACAAAATTCTCAGCCAAACAACATAGAAAACGCAATACAGATCATTTCAAAACTACCAGTAAAATAAAAAATCATAAAACAAAAGCGAAGAAGACATTAAACGCCATTAATAGATCTCAGATTACTATCGGCTACTGCAATCTCAATGTCCAGAACTACACAGATGAAGAGAGAGATCATTTAAGATACCTTTGGGTTGATTTGACGCGAAAAAGCCAAAGACAGTGAGTTAGATCTCAACAACCAGACACAAACTCAGTCCTTCTGGTTCTGTCCTCTGTCTCGAATTCGATCGCTATCGGGACCTCGACGTCGATATTTTTGTAGCGGCTTGTTCACTTTTATTTGTGAGGGTGTGGGGTCCATGAACTAATGGTAAAGTGGGCTGGTCCAGTTTGATTATATCCAACCCCAGAGACCTATGGGCCTGCCCATTAAGATCTTGATTTTTTTTTTCCAGATAAAATTGAAAATAAATTTAACTTTTTTTTTTTTAATTTATAAAATGCAGTAGAACTCAAATGAGACCGTGACGATAAAATTAGTTGTTTTATTACATCAAATATGCTCTCTTAATCTTTAAATGTGAATATATATGTTATGCTATTATTTTGTACCCCTTGCAGAATGCCAAATAGCAGATTTAGTCATGTGCTAAGGCCACAAGTCTATCATACTACTCACTGTTGAAACAAATTGACTAGTATTCTCAAATTTTAAAAATATTAATGATAAATTTTTAGCTAATTCATTTTTCAATATTCATGTTAAAGTTGGCATTCTAGTGATTTAACTTTCTAATAAACTTTATAATATAAATCCTTAAAAAAATAAACTTTATAATACAATGATATAAAATACATAAAAATTTAATAATCATCAAGTATGGACCAAAATATGGGTTCGCAAAAACGTTATAATGTGGCTGCTGGGATTCGAGCCCAGGTCTCCACGGCCACAACGTGGAATTCTTACCACTAAACTACAGCCACATGATGTTTAAGTCAGCTAAATTATCTCTGTAATACTTTTGTTTTGGCCTCTAATACATTGCCAGACCATTAAATGCTTAATTAATTTATACTACCTCCATTCTATAATACTTGTCACATTTAAAACAATAATTTGTTCTAAAATATTTGTCATATTTGTAATTTCAAAGAATAATAAATATTTTTTTCATATTTACCCTTTTTACATGACCAATAATTATTACATCAATTTAATGGTTTTTTTTATAAAATTAGTATTAAATTATGGGAATACAATCAATTTAGTCAATAATTTATTATAATTTGGATAAATTTAATGGTTTTTTAAGAGACGTGAAATTTCAAATATGATAAGTATTATGGAACAGAGGTAGTAAATTATTTAACCATGTTTGGGAAGTGAGAAACAATAGTAAAATGTTTTTCTTTTTATAATTAGCACCTTAATATACTTAAAAACATAGGTTTTCTTCTACATCATTTACTATAAAATTCTTTTAATTTTCCATAAAAAAATGTACTTAACTTTTTTTATTTTTTCTAAGAATTAAAATTAATGAATTAACCACGATATTTATTATATGTTTTTCCATGTTTCTAAATTATTATTTATATATTTTTCTATCTAAATTAATGGATGTGCAAAAAAGAGTGATGAAGATATACATAAAAAGAAAAATGCAGTAAAGAGTTTCCTTTGTGATGAAAAATTCTTTTATATTTTCTCTATTTATTTTCCTTCCATATTTTCTTTCCTCTCTAAATTTGTTTCCTCTCCTTTTCAATCATACTGTTAATATCTCGGTTAATGAGCGTTCGATTGGCCAAGTCAAAACGTTGATGTCTTCATGAGTCGGATCTGACGCAGTAGATAAGGCTGATAGGTAGACCATCATAGACTGCCACTTGACTGTGAATATCTCTAATTGGGAAATTGGGTTGTATCTAACGTGGCAGATATCTCAAGTAAAATAGTATGTTATTGTTTTGATCACGAGACGCCAGTGAGGATTTAGTAGTAATCATGTGCTCTCCAGACCACCTATTACGCATGGTTTTAAGTCACAACCAATCCAAAATCCAATCATTGCTTTTTTTTTAAATTGTCCAATCATTTTTTTTATTTATTTTACACTGAACCAAAAAATTTTGGAGTTAACTCAATTATCATAAGAATATAATTGAATTATAAAAATTATAATTATTTTTTGAAATTATAAAAATTATTACTTTTTTAAAACTATGTATTTTCTAAAATTTATTTTTTCTTTTGATTTGAAAAATTCTTCCAATTACCAAATATCTCACTTATTAACTCATTAAATATTTTATTTAATAATAAAAATCTAAAAATCCAAAGGTTCAAAAAAAAATAATTATAAATATTTTACAATCTAATTTTAAAATTTCAAAGTTATAGTAACTATTAATTATTATGTTGAATAAAAACATAATATCCAAATATTATAGTAGATAAATAATACTAAATGAAATTAGATTTATATAGATAGAGAAAATAATAATAAATATAAAAATAATAATACATTAAGATAAGATAAAAAAATCCGAGAATTTGAATATATATAAAAATATATGCTTCTAAATTTTAGGTAAATAAATAACATCAATATATATAAAACAATAATTTTTTTCAAGAAGTTGACACGTGGCATAATGCCGCATAAGATTCTTCAATTTTGGTGATGCCATGTAGATGTTTTAAATTTTGATAGTGTCAAGTAGAATTTAATTATTAGCTCTAGTATTATATAAATATTGATATTAATTATCATAATTAATATATAATAGTAATTAATTATATTTATTATAATATTTTAACCTATCTTTCTCAATTAAAATTACATAATATTGATATTAATTGTCATTCAATTATCATATTAATATGTATTAAATAATTATATTTATTATAATGTTATAACCTATTTTTTAATTAAAAAATTATCATAATTATTGCTCTAGTATATATAAATATTGAATATTAGATTATCATAATTAATATATAATAGTAATTAATAATATTATAATTATTTTAACCTATTCTTTCTCATTAAAAATATACATAAATTGATATTAATTGTCATTCAATTATCATATATTATCATATTAATATGTATTAAATAATTATATTTATTATAATGTTATAACCTATTTTTTAATTAAAAAATTATCATAATTTTAATGTTGAATATCATATTAATATATATTATAACTTATCTTTTAAATTAATATTATTATAACATTGATATTGAATTTTATAATTTTCGTTCATAATTATCATTTATTATTATGAATGAAAATTTTATATATGAAAAGAATCGAGGAAGTTAATGGTGAAAATATTTATTGATATTTTTATTAACAATGAATATTCAAACGTTTCAATATTTATTTGCCTTAAAATTATATTATATAATTGTCTTTATTAGTTTTAAGGATAATATATTGAATTGCATATTAATTGCATATTAGTGGACTATAAATAGAGAGAGCTTTTTGAGGTTTGGTACAATCAACTTTTTTTTTTTTTTTTTTTTTTTTTTTTTTTTTTTTTTTTTTTTTTTTTTTTTTTTTTTTGTAACTTCAATAATTCTTATATTATTTCTTTTCAACATTGATATAACTTTTTCTTCTAATTTCTGTTACTCTATCAAATTAAGAAAAAATTCACAAATAATAAAAGAAAACGGTATGTATGAAATTATCATTAACAATTATATATACACATTTATGATTGAATTCTATTATCCATTTTATTTTATTTATATTATTATTTTAATATTATCTAAGAAATTTATTAATTAAAAAATAAATTAATCAATGATTATTGAATATATATTTTTTTCTTTCAATTTTATTATATGTATTAATTTTTATATAATTAGTCTAATATTTTGAATTTGCAATAAATGTTCTTTAATTTAAACAATTTTTAATAAAATTAATAAATAATAAACAATTTTTAATAAAATTAATAAATATTAAATTATAAATAATTTAAATTATAAAATTTTCTCAATTGAAGTATATATTTTAAAATATTATTGACATTATCTCTAATGTTATAGATAAATATATTTAATGTGCATAGCAAATGCATTGTGCTAGTTAAATTTATATAGATAGAGAAAATAATAATAATAATAAAAATAATAATAATAATAATAATGATGGCATCAATTTCATAAGGATAAATCTTATAAAAAAATGAAAAAAAATGAAAAATATAGACTTAAAACAGAGAAATAATTCTTTAAATCAATATTTGTGGTTTCATATAATTTATTTTTTATTTTAAAAGCAGCTTTTTCCAAGGAAAAAAGAAAATAAATAAATTTAAATAAATAAATTTTGCTTATTTAAAAAAAATGAAAAAAAAACTTAATCGAAATCAAACCGTAAACGTGTTTTAATTTTAATTTTTATATTTTATTTGCATAGGTGAAGAATTAATTTGCTGACATGGCAAGGTTTGCAGTAGGGTTAATATGGTACTCGTCATGAACTCGACTACACCTGAAACAGTCACACGAGTAAAAACCGATTACGTAAACAAATGCATTACAGAAAGATATGACTACGTGTCCTAACCTTGATAGTCACAACAACGAAAAAAAGTTAAAAAACGGCACCGTAGTAATTTTAAGAAATTGGGAGAGCAAAATCAAATCCTATTTTCCTGCTTCGATTACATTGGTCATTACCTCTATATATAACACTGTATCTCCCTCCAATGTCTATCGACTGTTTACTGTTTTTCAACTTGTAAACAAGAAATCATATCTAGAGAGAGATTAAAATCCTCTTATCTGCTTCTGATCGGAGTTCAAAAAAGAGATATAGCGGTAATTTATCAGTTCAATATTGATTTGCTTTTTTTTTTTTCCTTATAAATTTTGGTTTGTTTTGGTGGGAAATGAAAGTTGGTGTGAACGTGAGGTGAGATTCAGATCTTGAATTTTGGGAATTGGCGTGTGATGGGGTACAGTTTCGGTGGTTAGGAGCTTTCTGTAACTTTTCGTGTTTTTCAAGTTTTGATATTTCTCTGTTCTTTCTATCTCTTGTTGGTGTGGTTTGTTAGTGTAATTATTGTGATTATTTTTTGTTTTTTAATTTTTGGGTTTTTAAATTCGATTGGTGAAGCTCATTTTTCTTATATAAAGCTCCAATTTTTATTATTGTTTCGTGTTTTATTAAGGAATTTAGATCACTCAGGTTGGAGTCTGTAGAGTCTTATTAGTGTTTAATTTTGTGGGTCATTTATAAAAATGAAATTGATGTTATTTATTTATTTGGTTGTGTTTTTTAGGAGTTGAACAAGAATGGCTAAGGAAATTTCTAATGGAGATCACAATGCTGCATCAAAGCCACCACCAACTCCATCTCCTTTGAGATTTTCTAAGTTCTTCCAGGTATTTGATTGTCTTTATCAGTTTGAGTTATTACTTTTATTGCATGAGACGTGGTTAATCTGTTTTAAAGCAATTTGTGGGGAAGACTCCTCTTTGCCTTCTGTTTTCTACTTGCGTTTGTTGTGAACAATGCTTGCCACAAGAATCTTTAGTGGTTGCTCTAACATTGAATATGTTAGATGTAGTCTAGTTTTTGATTGAAGTAATGAAATAAGGTATAGATGCAAATCATAAATCAAAATTGTAATCTAGTTTTTTAAGTTTTGGTAGCCTTCTACTTTGGATTTTGATAATGAATTGACCTATTGATCTGAAGAGTTTCGTTATATGAATTATATATATTTTCACATGTTTCAAGTGCAAATGCCATGGCACATTATCTTGGACAGTTTTGTGCTTTAGTTGAGATATTCTTCACTCTTATTTTTGATAAATGCTGTTAGAAACAGATTGTTTCTTCATCTCAGTAATGGCTTTTCTTGCTCCATAAGTGAATTGTGATCTAAGAAATTTGCTTTGGTGGCAGTCCAATATGAGAATTTTGGTCACTGGAGGAGCTGGATTTATTGGCTCTCATCTGGTTGACAAGTTGATGGAAAATGAAAAGAATGAGGTAAGAGCATTTAACAGTCTCGATGTTTATTTTAATGGAATAGTTAAGATGAAAAGGAGTGGCATGTTCTTGTCCGTTTATTATTTTTACATTGCCCATTGTCCATCATGAAAAAATCACATCTGCACAAAAGGAAAAGCAAGTAAAACTACTAATGAATAGAATTCTTAACATTTGAGAATGCTTATGGTGGTGTATTGTTGTTCTCCTAAAAGTTTCTAACATATGTTTTGTATTTAATTCAGGTGATTGTTGTGGACAACTTCTTTACTGGTTCAAAGGATAATATAAGGAAATGGATTGGTCATCCAAGATTTGAACTGATTCGCCATGGTCTGCTGTTTTCATTTTAAATATTTAGTGTTTCACAATCAATCCATGTTGGTAACAGTGAATAACGTTTATTTGTCACATGTTAACAATATATTTTTCTACAGATGTCACCGAGCCATTGCTCATTGAGGTTGACCAAATTTACCACCTTGCTTGCCCTGCTTCTCCAATCTTCTACAAATACAATCCTGTAAAGGTATGTGCATATGTACATCATGCAGCTTTGCAGTATCTCTCTTCCCATGAAAATACTTCCCACAACTGTTGTTGCCTGTGGCTAAAGCGATGATTTGACATGCAACCATCCAATCTTTGACAGACTATAAAGACAAATGTGATTGGTACATTGAACATGTTGGGGCTTGCCAAGCGTGTTGGTGCAAGGTTTGAGACTAGTCCTCAATGTTTTTATAATGGCCTGTTATGGCGTTCTCATGTTGTAATGAGATTATTGTTGAGAACAGGATTTTGCTGACATCAACTTCGGAGGTGTATGGCGATCCGCTTGAACACCCTCAGACTGAGAGCTACTGGGGAAATGTCAATCCAATTGGTATATTTTACCTATGCAATGTTTGGTCTTTCTATTGAATCTTTCAATTTGAAGTTAAAACTCATAAGGAATTTTACCAAGAAGAGATTTACGTAAATCCCTTCTGTATATAAAAATTAACTTTCTATGTATGAGATTTTCATTTTACAATTTGAGCTACACATAAAAATTACTTGTGATGTTCCTCAAATAATTTCACATATGCATATGATAAACTAATTATTATTCTTGTATTGCCAAATTTTTACAGGAGTCAGAAGTTGCTATGACGAGGGAAAGCGAGTAGCTGAAACTTTGATGTTTGATTATCATAGACAACATGGCATTGGTAAAATCCTTACCTTCCTTCCTCTTTTTCTCTCTCTGAATTGATTTTGTGAACTAATATAAAAGGTAGATTGTTTTCTTATCAAAATTTGTTCCTCTATCAGAGATACGAATTGCCAGAATTTTTAACACTTATGGACCCCGGATGAACATTGATGATGGGCGAGTTGTTAGCAATTTCATAGCCCAAGCAGTGCGGTTAGTTGTTCAAAATCTAGATTGAAAATGAACTTCCTCTTCTCTGTCTACTAGTTATATTTTTTTGCTGCGGCTTTTGCCTTACTGTCACTTGGTTTTGTCAATACATGCAGTAATGAGCCTTTGACTGTTCAAGCACCAGGAACACAAACCAGGAGTTTCTGTTATGTTTCTGACATGGTATGTAAGAGTTCAGTCATTGCATTTAGTAACGATGGATAACAAAAATGAATTGTAATTAGTTGCTAAAATATTTGCAATAAACTTTCATTCAAATCATTGAAGGTTGATGGTCTTATTCGGTTGATGGAAGGGGAAAACACTGGGCCTATTAATATTGGAAATCCAGGTAATTACTTAAAACTAAATGACAAAATCATTTGGGTTCTTTAAGTCACTTTGAAAATCTTGAATTTTGATGTTTTAGGTGAATTTACAATGCTTGAACTTGCGGAGACTGTTAAGGAGGTTAGTTTCAGTTTGCCTTCTCCCTGCTCTCTCTCTTTCTGGCTTTAATCTATCTTACCTAGCAAATCTGTCTAAGCATTACCTGTTGCGAGACAAAAACAAAAAAATATTGTACAACAAAATAACAAATTGAGCTTCCTGTATCGAAGCCAGATAAAACCTATAACGAATGCATGCATATTGCAGCTCATCAATCCTGATGTGGAGATCATAAGGGTCGAAAATACACCAGATGATCCTCGTCAAAGGAAGCCAGACATCACAAAAGCAAAGGAGTTGCTAGGATGGGAACCTAAGGTGAAGTTGCGCGATGGTCTTCCACTCATGGAGGAGGATTTCCGACAAAGGCTTGGGGTCCCAAGAAAGAAGTGAACAATTGTATGTCTTCATTGACATTCCTTGCACCAGTCAGATGTTTCCTTTAATATATAATGATAATTACAATAAAGGGATTTTGTGCTATTACAATTAAAATAGGTATTCATGTAGAGAAGCTGGAAAATGTGTATGGATTAATCATGAGATAGCGTTTTATATCATGGATTAGTTCTTAGTTCGCTGCCGTTTGTTATTGCTTTTGTTTTTGGTTTTTGGTTTTTGGTCTTTTATTTATTTTTATTAGGAAAAAAAACGTGTTTTTTTTTTTTTTGAAAGTGTATAAATTTATTTTTTAATTTTTTTTTTTCAAAACTGTTTGAAAAAACAGAAACGTGTTTTAAAAAACAGAATTTTGTTTTTAAATGCATGTTTTCTTATTCTTTTCTTTACACCTTTGTAAACTCTGATTATTTATATATCATCATCATTGATTCATGAATCTCTATCAAATTATTAATATTATATATTTTATTTCAGTATAGATAAATTTTAATGACTGAGTATATAAATTCACTTCTAAACTTTATTATTTTAATTTTATGACGCCTTTAATCTTTATTTTGACTTATTAAACACTTTTAACTTATAAAATTATACTTATTAAACACTTTAATTTTCAAAATTATTTTATTAATCACGTCAATATGTAAAATTAAAATTAAATCAATTAAACGACACTCCTTAAAAGGAATTATTATTCTAAAAGTTATTATTATTCTAAAAGTTTTGTTAACTACATAGTAAGATATTGGTGTAAGTTCTAAAAAATATTGATTTTTTTTTTTTGAAGGGCAAAAATTATTAATATTAGTGTGGAGATATATATAATATTAACAAAATTTACAAATTTAAGTTACAAAATTCGAGAGTAAATTTACATATTCAACTAAGGTTTAATATTTATCGTACTAATTATTGTATTTGGCTAAAATCTTCTTTTTTTATCACTGTTTGATACTCTGATAATAATCCTTCTCTGTCTATATATATAAAAACAGTTTTTTGTTTTTTCAGAAATAAAAAACAAAAAATGTAAAATGACAGCAAACAAACCCTTGATAATCTCTACTTTCGGATATTCTCTTCCATTTTCTTTTTCTTTAAATTTTTTTTCCTTTCCAAAGCTTGCACCTTGAAACAGGAGAATTGCTCGGGTCACCATATAAATGTATTCCGGAAACTTCAATTGAAGGAGTACATAGCGATTCTACCAACGGTCTCAGTATCACAATCAAAGCCCCAAAGCTGCTCATTGGTGCAGCAGTATGAATTCCAAGGAATGTTTGGATTATAAAGCAGTTAATTGAGCTATAAATTTCAAATTATTTACCTGTTTCTCAATGAGAAGAAAAATTTTATAATGAAGGTACAAGGAGGTTAAAAAGGGGTGTGGATATAGGGAAGGAAAAGTTTATTCCAAAAGGGATTTCTAAGCTTCTGCAACAACTTGAGCTCGAGGTTTTTTTTCCTTGTTTTTCACAGACTTCTTACTTGTTGCTTCACCATCTTCTGTTTCTGTTTTGTTCTCAATCCTTGCAAAGACTGGTTTAGGTTGAGCCATGACCTGACCACCCTTCAGCCCTCCCCACTTGGTCTCACTCTACAATGGAAAATCCGATAAGTTAATGCAACAGTGCAAACAGCATTTTGGGTGCATATGTAGAGGGCAAGAAGAGAAGAAGGGGGGGCAGGGGGCGAGGTGTAAGAGAGAGTGAGAGAGAGAGAGAGAGAGAGAGAGAGAGACAAACCCATGTTATACTGTTGAAATGGTCCTGTGAGTAGCCAAGCTGTGCATAAATTCTCCAGGATAAACTTGGCGCAACAGGGGATAAAGCAATCGCTATAATTCTCATTGCTTCCAATATAATCACCAGATCCTGCTTAGCATCAACCAAAATGAAAACAGCACTTCAATAACATCTCAAACTAGGTCAGTTCAAAGCCATGCTCAACAACCACGCTTATCATGCTGATAAATCATGTTTTACCTATTATATTGATTCTTAGCATATGAAGTTAGAAAGTTGACTGATTTAAGATTAAAATGTTTTTTATTTCCATAAAAATTAACTGATCAATTTCTTGACAATGAGACCAAATTTTATTGAACACATTTTTTGAGACTGCACATATAAAAACCTTTGCAGCAGCTTCAGAAGCAGCACCCCCTTTCTTAAAAAGAGACCATGGAGTGCGTTCATCCATGTAGCCATTTCCAGCATTACCAATCTCAAGAACAGCCTCACAAGCCAATGACAAAGAGAGATTTTCATAATGAATCCGAGCCTTTTCAACCTATAAGAAAAGCATAATATGCATTAGGATGATGTGAAGCTGCAGATGGATAAAGCTTCTAGGAAACCTTACGTCATATGAATAGCAAATAGTAATGGAATTAGCTGATTGGCTTTAGAAAATTTACCATAGAGCTTAATGAACTAATGGTGGCACCAGAGTTTATCTCATGAGTATGAAAGCAAACATATAAATAAAAGTTCTAATGTAAAAACCAAAGTGAAAACAAAGCCATCCAACTATTGGCAATTTGAAAGAGTTGGACATTTAATTGGTAGATTTTTCACTAGAACCATCAGTTTTCAACGCATTTGTCAATGACGCTAGTATCGAAAAAATTCAGCCTTACCAACTTTTCAACATTGTCCTTGAATGCATTTCCTTCAGCTGCAATAGCTGCATCAACCACCAAAGTTGATTGACAATTCTTTTTAAGAAGTCCAAGAGTGCGGTTAAGAAGGTTTCCTGCATAAAATGAGTAAAGGATATATTAACTTCTTGATACATGATTTAAATTGCATTTTTATCTTTCAGCATCGTATTATATTTTTTTGAAATGTTTCAGCATCATATCAGATAATCATAAAAATCCAACTTAAATACCAATAGTATTGGCAAGGTGTGCATTGACAATGTTAACAAAACGCTCTTCTGAGTAGTCCCCATCACTGCCAAACTCCACCTCTCTGAGGAAAAAGTACCTGACTGCATCAGGCCCAAATTTCTCAATCAACTCATTTGGTTCAAGTGTATTCCCCAATGACTTTCCCATCTTCAGGCCATCCTATCATTTTTCAAAATAAAAAGCATTGCTGCATGAAATAAAATTGGGTGTAAGAGAGAAAAACAAAATCAAAGGCGTGCTCACTCATACAATACCGTCACTGAACCCAACATCATGATTTTATGTTCCACACAAATACATTTGAATTCTACTGCAAACCCGAATTCCAGAGAAACAGTAGCAAATCTACTCAAATAATGTTGGTAGGAACAAGCTAAATTTTATATACTAGAATAAAATTAAGTCCCCACTTATATCAATTTAATGGTAGGCTACAAAATTTAATTTAACCAGATATTTCCAATTTCATGTAAATCACATAGTGCAGGGAGATTTTTTATGGTTATAAGATAAAATGATAATAATGACTTTAAATTTAAATGTCAATAATGAAACATAAAGCATCCATGATGATTTGAAAAGGGTTGAAAAAGGAACAACTATATACTCAACTATGCACTCAAATGGAAACAACAATCCGTGAATGAAGGACAAAAAGAAGACAGAGAATGATGTTAACTAGTCTAGCACATGTTTGCATGAAGAGATTTTTTCTAAAGAACTAGCAACTTATTAGCTGCCAAACATAAATTCCAAGTACCTTAATTTGTTCTAGCGTCCCCTAGGAAGATCTAACAAACAAAACAAGTCATAGATCTAACAAGTACCTTTGTCAAGAATCCATGTCCAAACACCATCTTAGGAAGACCTAGACCAGCAGACATTAGCATAGCTGGCCAATAAACTGCATGGAAACGTAAAATATCCTGCAGAATTACAACAGGATCATATGAGAGACATTAAAAGCTGAATTCTGTTCAGAAATGTTTTTAGCAAAAAAGGAATCAAGTTCATAAAAATCGAAAAAATGGTAAAACCTTCCCAATCAAATGTAGTGAAGCAGGCCAACCAGAAGAAACAGCACTTTGTAAATTAGGTTGTTTGTTGTCCTCCGATAGAGCTGATATGTAGCTGCTCAACCAAAGCAAAAGGTCAGTCAAGTACTAACTGAGGTAGAAAGGTTGGTAATCTTTACTTTCTTCCATTTTCCCAGTAGTGAGTAAGTGGTCAATAAGATGTAAACAACTGCACTGACCAAGGGGTGACAAGCTTAGAAAGTAATACAATTGCAAACTGCAGAAGAAAGAATCATACCCTAGTAATGCATCGAACCAAACATATATGGTCTGCTTATTGTCATTAGGAACTGGAATGCCCCAATCCACTGATGCTCGGGAAATTGAAAAATCTTTCAAGCCACTTCTAATCCAGCTTTGCACCTGAAGTATTGATAGTAGAAGAGAGAAGCTGAATATAACTAGCATGGAAGGGGGAAAAGCCTTTTTTAGCGGAAAAGCCTTTTTTAGCAGAAAAATGACGCTGTATGTTCAAACAGAATAAAAGAAATTAAAAAGACAAAGAAAAAAGACTGTCAGGCTCTAAAGAAATAATTAGATTCGTGATGCTTCCATCACTAACATGCACCAGTGGAAAACAACAAAAGTACTAGGTATTCCGATGCAATATACTAAGCACATAATGCAACTTCTTTAATGCCAGTCACTGGTAAGTTTAAACAAACCAACAGATTGATAATCTTCAATCCTACATTCTCATTCCCTAAAATTAATAACCAATTAAATTTAAAATCACCATTTGATACATAAAAGAATAGGGCATTTTAGAATTCCTATAATCACAATTCAGAGCACAGTTAAAAGGACAGAACAAATGTATCCCTTGCCACATACAAGACACAATAACTGAGTTAATCTTGAAAAATAAGCTCTTGATTATATGGAACTAAGACGCTCCGTTGAAATTCCAACCAGCTTCACCAAGCCATAGCACGAAATCTAAAATTAGGATGACAGAACTTTGACTCAAGCCTCGTTGTTTCATTGCCCTTCATTCCATATTCAATAAAATGCAGAATTTATCAAATACGCAGTAAATACAACCTAATACGTACTAAACTAGCAATAACCCTAGTCAGAACATGATTATGTTGAACAGAACAAACAAACAGATTCTACAATCACGTTTAGAAAATAACATTGGATGCATGAGAAAGCTGAGCTTTTGCTGATCAGAAGAAAGGAGAATTGTCATTTCCTAACCTCATTCAAACGGAATGAAGGCTGCACAAAATTTGGACACTCTGTCAATGTTTCTTCTAATAGCTTTTGGTACTTTGACAAGGCAAAGAAATAATTATCCTCTTTCCGCTGAATGCATGGCTTTAGGTGCACGGGACAACACTTGTTATCAAGCAGATCCTTCTCATCCTATAGAATATAGAAAGCTAATGTCATTTCTCCACAAACAAATGCTAATGTTAATCTTGGCAAACAATATTTACATTTAAAAAAATGAAAGAAAAATTAGACTAGCACATGTATTATATATAATATAAAGAAGTGTCATCCCATTATGTCAACAATGCCTTTTTTTTTTTCTTTTGAAATTTGAAAAGAATGCAAAGGATGAAACTTTGGAAACTGTTTCTGATCAGCAAAATGCCTTGAGCATTATAACATGAACTAGATGGAAAAGTAAGGCACACCTTATACTCCTCACAGTTGACACAGTATAGTCCCTCATAGTCAGCGCGATAAATATCCCCATTGGCAAGAACTCTAGAATAAAATTCCTTGACAATTGCTTCATGCTTGGGATCAGTTGTCCGAATAAATTTGTCATAAGCAATTTCTAACTGCCCTCCAGAAAACACAAAATAAGAAAATCCATCAGAACATTCATAACAATCGAACTAGTAAGCTGAAAGGATAAGTAGTCAAGTAGAAAAATAAAAAGTTCACATCTTTCCAAAGTGTCTTGTAAGCTTGTGATATGACATCACAGTGCTCACTTGGGCTAGCGCCACAGGCAGCTGCAGCAGTAGCAATCTTCTCTCCATGCTCATCAGTGCCAGTAACAAATATAACTTTCTTCCCTAAAAGTCTCTGGCAATTGATATAAACATAAAAATAAATAAATAAATAACAGCCCCTTGTACACAACAAAACAACGAACAGAAACTACTCAACAATTTCTACACTCCATTAGAACACAAAACTTTACAAACAAAACCCACAAAGAAATATTAATTATCCAAATTCCAGTGACTAAAACAAGATAATTATGCAGACAAATCAAGTCTCAAAAAGAGCTAATCTTTGAAACCAAAAAAATCTGGTTCACACTTCTTGATCAAGAATAATCTTACCAAAACGATAACGTGTATATTAACTCATGCTTACCAACCAATTAAGCTGAAAATTTGTGTATTTTTTTTTTTTTAAAAAAAAAAAAAAAAAAAAAAAAAATCTTTGATCAAGAATAATCTTACCAAGAAACGATAACGTGTATATTAACTCATCTTACCAACGCAATTAAGGCTGAAAATTTGTGTATTTTTTTTTTTTTAAAAAAAAAAAAAAAAAAAAAAACAAAGCTCCAAAATTGTGTAACAAAAACAGTTACCTGAAATCGAGCTATGGATCGAAGCCATTTTTTTTTTTTAAAAAAAAAAAAAAAAAAAAAAAAACAAAGCTCAAAATTGTGTAACAAAAACAAGTTAACCTGAAATCGAGCTATGGCATCAGCAGCGATGGTGGTATAGGCACTACCCATATGAGGAGGGGCATTCACGTAATAAAGCGGAGTTGTGAGGACAAATGTTTCAGCTGTCCCTGCTTCGTCGTTTTTACGATTGTCATTGCTAATACTATAAGTGCAAAACGCAGCCTTTCTTGATTTAGAAGAAGAAAGGAAGAGATTTGGAGGGAAACTAATACGAGTCTGGACATGGGTATTTGTTCTTGACCTTCTAGTAATAGAATATAAAGGGGTTAAGAGCGACTGGTTTATTCTCGCTGCCATTTTTTTATCTTTCAACTCTCTGCTACTATCAGCTTATGGCTGCTCTTTAAAACGCGGACGAGGCAGAGGCTTATCGATACAGAAGAAGCAAGAAAACATAATTAAGATAAACACTATGTTGCGGCCCAAACTGGAAAGCCCAATTTAAAGAATCTCCGTAATATTATAAGCTATGGACACGGGCCTGAACCCGTGGTCCCGGTCCTCCATGGCTCTTGAACGGGACCGGGCCAGGCAGTGTTCGTTTCAGACTATTTTTTTTTTGGAAAATTTAATGGGAATTCAAGAATAAAAAAAAATGTCATTAAATTTACGATTGGAAGAAAAAGAATATTTAATAAAATTTGAAAAATGCGGAAAAATGTCATTAACTTTACTTTATAAATAATTAAAATAAACCACAAAATCTTTGTTATTCCTAAACCTTGCAATTTGAATTGCTAGCTAAATTCTTAAAAAATTTGAAAAAACAAAATTTTCATTAATTTTGCAAATAATTATTTATATAATTGATTAATGTTTTTTTTTAGAAAAATGATCGATTTTAAAGGACAGATTGAATTGATTGTGTAATACGAAAAATGATTAGTTGTCTTATGGTAATATCACTAATGTAGCCTAATGACTTTAAATTAGTAGTTTACATTTTGTGGTCTTTTAATTAATTTATTGCAAAATCAGTAAATAAAAAAACATAACGAAATTTTTGATACCTTTCTTATCTCTAAATTAATTTTAAACTAAAAATTCAATGAAAAATAGTTTAATTCTTAAAAATTTTATAATCTAATAATTATTATTGTAGGAATATATATTAATTTCTAATGAGAAAATATTAAAAAAATTACAAATTGATCAATAATTTTGGGTGAACTATATTTTAATTCGTGGAGTGGAGTTGATTATTTTAGAGTATAATGATATCTTGAATTTTGTCTTTATGCAAATTTTTTTTTTTTCTGAAATATAATCATGGGATATGCAATGATATACAATGATAGTACCTTATTAGTTTCAAACAATGTTATTAAACTTGATCCATACATTGATTTGGCTAAATAATTGGATGGGTGAGTCATTTATTTAATTGGTAGTCAATGAAAATATATAATTAAAATAATTAAAATATCAAAAATCAATTTGGATCAATTAAGTCTCTATGAATTAACCTGTTCAATCACATATCAGTCGATTCAATTTAGTTTAAAAGTAAAATCAGTCCAATTTTAGAGTCAATTCACCAATTTTCGAAGTTAAACCTTGAGTAAAGTATAATAACTATGGTCTCAAACTCTCACATCTCATCTACTACATCATTAAGTAGAAGTTGCAGCGATATAGCTGAATGTGTATTTGTACATATTAAATTAAAAAAATGGTTCTTCAATGCATAAAAAATAAATGAATTTCAGCGCAAGAAAAAATTGAGCAGAAATAAAAGAGAAAGTATAAAAAAAATAAATAATAAAAAAATTAATGAATAGGAAAAAAAAATAAAAAGCTAAGTCATGTTTGTATATCTAACTTATGGACTAAACAGACAATAATATTAAAAATAAATTAAAATTTTTAATTTAATAAATAAATTAAAGCGATTCATGATTGATGGGAGATGACAGCGTGCCCCTAAACTATTCAATTCCACCATAGATTTCGTCCAATCATCCACGTTACTCCATTCGATATTATATTTCTAGTCATGTGATTTGACTTTCTCAAGACATGAAACTCGTGAATTGATGTTTTTTTGAACAAAACATCCCTTTTGCTATGGTTTTTTCAGCAGCATCCTTTGATTTATATTAAAAAGAAAAATTTTGTTTCAACTCAATGTCGGGTTGTTTCATCTCAAGAAAGAATTACCATCTTTTATTCAAAAAAGTAAACATATTTTATTTAAATAATGTATTTAATGGACAGTAAAATGCTAATTTTTTATCTTTTTGAACGGAACGGTTCCCACAATAAATTTAAGTAAAAATTAAAAATATAATAATAATAATTTATGATAATTACTATATAGTTCCTAAGTTTTTACAAAAACATTAGGAAAAATTTCGATTTTCAAAATGACATTACTTAGTTCTTACATTATAATTTTGTTACACTATAATAAGGTCTAATAATTAATTTCTCTATTAAGTAATTATGAAATATTATAAACACTCTTAAGAATAATTGTTGTATAAAAACTGAATAGTGTAAAGTTATAAAAATTGAGATTTTTACTACAGCATTTCATCATATTATAAGGACTACAGTAATTGTCTTTTAAAGTTACCTTTGACATTGCATAATCACGGAAAAATTAATCGTTGAACTTTACAGTGTAATGAAATTATAATGGAATGACCAAATAATATAATTTTAAAAATTAAAATATTTATGGTGTATTTGAGTAAAAATTAGTGTTTAAATAATAATTACTCCTAATTTCTTAAAAATAAAAAGATAGAAAAATATTAATTAAGATATAATTTAACAAGAAATTGCGTGTTATTTTATCTTATACTCTGTTAAAAAAAAAAAAACTTTTATATTAGACTTTGTGCCCTGTGGGTTATAGCCCATAGGTCTATACCCTATACTTTATTGACTTAAAATTAGGATGATCACGGACTTCACTTGTTATAGTTTCAACTCAGTCATATCTCTAAACGGAAGAGCAACTCGACTCAAAGGAAAGGCGCGGAAGAGCAACTCTACTCAAAGGATTCCGATCTCCTTTGAGTCGAGTCGATCTTTCGGAGAGGAGCGGAAGAGCAACTCGACTTAAAGGATTGGATTATACAAAATCCATATTTGATTCGCGAAGATTTTCATATGCCCATATTTATGTCCACTCCGTCGGATTTAGATCGGAGTGGATGTCGGAATGGATCTGGTCGGATAAGATATTATCTGATTTTTATTATGTTTAAAAGAAAAACAAAACAGAACAATAATTTAATAAATTTCATATTATTTATTGTGCTTAAAACACAAAAATTCCGAACAATAATTGAAAATATTGTATGTTTTGACAGCTATAAGAGACTTTAACAATTGTTAAGCGTAAAAAAAAATCATGCTTGTGGTCGTATTGTTCAACTCATATGCTTTTGTTTGAAGTGGATATTGGCTTTTGTTTAAAGTAGACATTGAAAAAAATACGAAGACGGTGAAAGAATTGAAGATAATAATTTAAAATATAAAAAAAAGAAAGTAAGAGAAGAATAAAGACAACTACACATCTAAAATTATAATAAGTAATTTTAGAAATATGAAAAAAAAGTAAAATTATCTTTCACAGATCGAATTCGGATTAAAGTATTCCATATCTGGACATATTTACGTGGATTTTATTTTGAAAATTCATATGTGATCTATCACTAAATGAATCGAATTTTATTCGCTCTATCCGAATCGGATCGAACCAAATATTCAATGGATCGGTCCTTTGATCATCCCTGCTTAAAACCCCAAAAGACAAATCCGCGATCACTGTAAAGCCATTTCCAGTTCCACTACGGACCAAAATCACGTGTCCCCACATAAACTCGTCGCGGACTCAGACTCAAACACAATGTGGGCCCCTTTCTTCCAACCGACAGGAACGGAAGCGGCCTCAAATTTTCATTAAGCAAAATGGCTAATCTCACCGCTCTTAGCATGTAAAACACCCACGCCAACCTCACCCTCACCCTCGCCATCTTCTCCTTTTCCACCTCAACTCTTTTACTTTCCATCAATACCCATACGCAACTGGTCCGACCTACGCTTTTATCAGGGACAATTCCGTACTTCTATTCCTTTTCTCTCTCCGCTGTCACCCAACCAATGGGTATTCCGACCAGCGACGATGTGGTTTTAATCCAACATGCTAAAACCTCCGCCGACCCCTCTGTCGTCACCGTCAATTGCCCCGACAAGGCCGGCCTCGGCTGCGATCTCTGCCGTATAATTCTCGAGTTTGGCCTTTCCATCACTCGTGCTGGTATTATATCCATTCTCCACACTCACACACGCACACACGTATATACCGGAAAAAGGTTGTATCTTTTCACTGCATTTTTTAGATATATGGTCTTGTTAATTGTTATGAATCTATGTTCTTTCTGGGTATTTTCTATTTTCAAGATTCATGATATTCTTTTTGTTTTTTAAGTTATCGATATAGAAATGGAAAATAAATTTATATTCTTGTTTTGGAAAACTTTTGTTTTCTTTATTTTTTTTCCCTGTCCCGTTGAATGTCAATTAGTAGATAGTTGAGTTGAAAATGGTTATTGTATGGCAGATTTTTCAACAGATGGAAGATGGTGTTACATAGTATTTTGGGTGGTTCCAGACTCGACCTCTTCATCACATAAGCTCGATTGGGATAGCTTGAAAAACCGGCTCTCTTTTGCTTCCCCTCCCTGTTTGATTCCATTCTATTTTGATCAGAAATCTAATGGTCCGTCGTTGCCTCCCCTCTATTTGTTGAAATTTTGTTTTGTTGACCGGAAAGGATTACTACACGGTAACTAACACTAGCTTGTGTGTTTATCTGCTCTCTAATTTAATTTTTAAGGAATGCTGTTTATTTTTTTTTTTTGTGGCTCCATGTAGATGTTACTAAAGTACTTACTGAGCTTCAATTTACAATTCAAAGAGTAAAAGTGATGACAACACCTGATGGGAAGGTTGTAGACCTGTTCTTCATCACAGATGGCATGTAAGTTTTGTATTCGATTCCTAAGAATTTACTCGAGTTTAATTTTTATGAGTAGTAACTGCTAATTGCATTACTATTGCTGGTTTTTTTTTTTTTTTTTTTTTTTTTTTTTTAACACCTGATGGAAAAGGTTGTAGACCTGTTCTTCATCACAGAATGCATGTAAGTTTTTGTATATCGATTCCTAAGAAATTTACCTCGAGTTTAATTTTTATGAGTAGTAACTGCTAATTGGCATTACTATGCTGGTTTTTTTTTTTTTTTTTTTTTTGTTTTTTTTTTAATTTAATTATTCTTGGCTATCTGTTGATAGAATGGTAGGTGTTCCTTTTATTTGTTGTTCCCAGTACTGTCTTTTGCATTGAGATCGTATTCAGAAGTTCCTTCTTATTTTCATTTCTGGTTGCTGGTTATTTTTTTCTTAATTGTTCCTCGAGATATTTCTAGGGTGATTTTGAGCCTCCCCCCCGCCCCCCCCCCAAAAAAAAAAAAAAAAAAAAGCTGGCAAAAGGTTAGGTAAACCTGAGATATTTTAGTCTGTTCAATGAAAAAAAAAAAAAAAAAAAAAAAAAAAAAGCTGCAAAAGGTAGGTAAACCTCGAGATATTTTAGTCTGTTCAATGAAAATTTATGTATTATATTGTTCAACAAATTAACTCATTAGTATCATTTTTCGTTGTTTTACCAATAAAGATGATCACGTTTTCCCCCATATCTTTCTCTATATGCTCATAAATGGGATAAATGCATAGCCTGACTAACAACATCAGAAATGATCATGTTTTGCCAATCTTTTAGTTACCAGATGGGACACCTGTGAAAGGGGAAAAAGGTTTAAAACACACAATACTGCTATTGAATATAGGTGTACAGTAAGATCTATAGGTGCTCCTTTTTCTTTTTTCAGTACTTATATCTTGAAACCAAAGAATGCCTGAGGGGTTCCCCACGTTTGCACTTCATGTAGCTTTGCAATTTTTTGCTACATAGCTTTGTTGCAATTTTCTGATTGCACGCTTGGAGAGGCGTTGACAAAATTTGGAAGTAGAAATCAACAGATTTCAGGTGTTTATTTGCACTGATAATCATCATGTTCAATGGAAAATGCTTTTCCGAATGAATGGCCGAGTTTACTTTTTCTTTTCTTGTTTGTTAAATTATTGAGCATGAGGAAAATTTCTGTTGGTTGTTGGCTGACTCTCTCTTGTCTAAACTTCTAGCAGATATCTTCTAGTTATAATATTTATTCAGAAGGGATTTTTTGCTCAATTTCCTCTTTGTTTTTCTATTTTTTAAATCTTACTTTCCTAGTCGAACCTGATTTGAATGTAAAATTTACTCCGCACCTGCTATTCCTTGGTCTTCTAAACTGAGTCTTGAGGCATCTTGATTTTCTGAAGATTTAAATTTCCTGACAATGTTTCTCGTATCTCGTACTGGGATCAGAATTGTGGGTCACCTTTATCGTCAGCATCTGACATTGGTTAATATCATATCAGGGAACTTTTACTCACTGAAAAAAGGCGAGTTGACACTTGTAGACATCTGTTTGCTGTTTTCAAAGAGTATTGTATCAGTTGTGAACTTCAATTGGCAGGGCCTGAATATGAAAGTCTCCAGAATTTCTCTTCCCTCCCATTGACAATTGCAGAGGAATTGTTTAGCTCCTGTACCCAAGCAATTTTAATGGATACATCATCATCGAAGAAGGCCAGTGTTACAGTAGATAATCATTTGAGCCCAGCTCACACATTGCTACAAATACAATGCATTGATCAGAAAGGCCTATTTTATGACATATTGAGAACGTCAAAGGACTGCGATATCCAGGTACTTCGCACATGGTTTTTCATAACAAATTATATTCTTGATGTTTATCATGCAGCATCTTGAAGTGGATTTATATGTATTGAGTGTCACTCGCTCTCTGACCTCTGACGAGGTCCTTGCATCCATTGAGAGTTGAATTAGTTTGTCCATTATCCATTTTTCGTCCCACCCTTTAAGGTCTCTTTCTAGTCAGCATTTAGTAATTTTCATTTGCCTAAAAGCATGATGTGCAGACTTTTCTCTTTACCCTTATCAATTTATCTACATGTTTCTAGAAAGGGGGCCACTTCCATATATCCATTCTTAGGCCCCTGTCTAGTGGCCTGTCAGTCGATAATTTCAATTATTATTTCACCAATACATGGTTCTTCTTCTTGTTGTTTTTCTCATATAGATAGCTTATGGTAGATTCTCTTCAAGTGTGAAAGGGCACCGTAATGTCGATCTATTTATTCAGCAATCTGATGGGAAGAAGATAATAGATCCTAAGCTTCAGCTTACATTGTGCTCTCGTTTAAAAGCAGAGATGCTCCATCCATTTCGAGTAATTGTTGTCAACCAAGGCCCAGATACTGAACTCTTGGTTGCTAACCCTGTCGAATTATGTGGGAAGGGAAGACCTCGTGTTTTCTATGATGTTACTTTGGCTCTAAAAACATTAGGAATCTGCATTTTCTCGGTAAGGATATCAATTCTATTTTCACATTTTTTTCCATATACCATTGGCAACTTTCATAAATAAGCTCATTCTCATTGCTGTTGATGTGTAGGCTAAAATTGGAAGACACTCAACTGAGGATCGACAATGGGAAGTCTACAGATTTCTTTTAGATGAAAATTGTGAAGTTCCAATTGCCAGTGCTAAATCCAGAAAACAAATAGTGGACAGAGTTAGAAAGACACTGATGGGCTGGTAACATGATCTGCATTTTAAACATGCTGGTGAGAACAGTTTTTTGGTCCCAAAATTACACTCGAGTTCCCACATATCTGCACAGCAAGAAGAATCTCATTTGCTGATGTTCGATCAAAGCCATTAGTATGATCTTTGCCATATTGCTGGGCTTGTTCTTCTGTGCTATATGGTGCCATGAATTATTGGCTTCATCTTTTCCACCATGGTCACAGAATCATCCATCCAGAGCGTTCCTGTGACGATTCGCTGTTGTAAATATTGAAGTTTTTGTTCTTCTTGTTGTATTATTAATTTTACTTCAAGTTTTGGTTCATTTTCTTTGATGGAGTAGTTATGTAGAAAACCATTGGTTTGATCCAGTGATATGAAGTGTTATGCTCTTTTTTTTTTTTTTTTTTTTTTTGAGTAAGTTATGTAGAAAACCATTGTTTGATCCCAGTGATATGAAGTGTTATGCTCTTTTTTTTTTTTTTTTTTTTTTTTGAAAAAAGATTAAAATCTCATTATTTAAGAGAAAAATCCGCAACATAAAATGGGGAGTACTATCCCAAATAACATGGCGAGCATGACGATAGGCAGCTCTACTAGAGTATGAGCTCCTATATTAGGCTTGCTACGAACCCAACGGACCTCAAAATCAGGGGTGAAAGTCCTAGTAATATAAGACAATCCGAAAATTACAAGACCTAAAAAGAGGGAGGAATTCTGGAGCACTAGAGTTGAGAGCCAAAACCATAACAAGTTGCGAGTCCACATAAAAACACCTGGATTGTGGAAGAAGTGCACAGCAAAAAGTAGGTTCCTTGAGAAGAGCAATCGCCTCAACTATGGCCGAGTCGGTGTACCTTCATAGTAAAACCTGAAATAGCTTTTTCAAAAAAAATACCTTCATCATCTTCAAAATGTAATAACCAAATCCAGCCATTTTTGATAGCAGCAAAAATGCGCCATCTGTATGTCAATTGCCAATTTTTTGCGTGAGTTAGGATTTTTGCAAATTGATGACTAGACTTGGGACCTTTGAGAGTGGTGGGGACTTGTTGCTAGTGTTGGTGTAGACAAAGTTGATGGCAGAGGCGAAGGGAATCATTACTGTACATTTGAATACCTTTGAACTTTAGAATTGCCACTAGGATTGGCTGGTGTATCAAACCACTTGAAGTATGCCTCTGAAGCTGTAAGTGAAATTCTTGCATAGAGTGGGCATGGCTTCGCGTGTAGACTTGAATGGGAGTTGAAGTGAACAATTTTCCAAAGCCGTTTGTTCTCAATGTGCCAAATACCCCCATGGAATATTAGCAAATTTAGCAATTTTAGAGTTTCATTATTTTTGTATTAACCTGCAGAAAAAAATCCTTTAAAAACAATATTAGTGTTGGGCAGCAAGAAAGCCTCCTAAATCCAGACTCTTTTAGCAAAGTGGCCAATTTGATCAAAACAGCATGATCATACTTTCTAACCTCACCACATAATCTACCTCACCACATAAAGGACATCCTTCATTTCTACCTCACCACATAAAGGACATCCTTCATTAACAGTAACCCCCCTATTCTTAAGTCTCTCTCTTGTTGGTAAGACCCCTCTAAGAACTCTCCAAATTAAGTCTTTAATCTTAGGTTGCGTTTCAATATCCCACACTGTCTTCCACCATGACCCAAACTCACCAACCCAATCTCGCAAGTCACTTTGTAACCTGACTTGACAGTATATACCCCTTTTCTATCAAAATGCCACACTCGCACATCCTCTCTATCTCTAATGCTAAGGGGTATATTAAGGATTTGATGACTCTCTTCCACACTAAATAAACTGATGATTTTTCCAGCATCCCATTTTCTCTCCCCACTCATAAATAAATCTTTAACTCTCAAACCCTCATCTATAAATCCTTGCCAACCCACTACCCTAAATGGAGCCTCTTTTGGTAACCATGGATCATGAACCACCCTAATTTTTTCCACTCTCCACCGTACACCATGTTTCAACACCTTGCTAGCTGACCATATACCTTTCCACACAAAGCTAGGATTCTTACCCAAAGGTGCTTCCAAAAAATCCTTTCTGCTAAAATATTTTGCCTTGAAAACTTTATGGAAAAGGGTGTTCTCACAGTTTAGCAAACGCCACCCTTGCTTGGCAAGCATATCAATGTTAAAACATCTAATATTTTTGAAACCCATACCTCCTTTATCTTTACTGCCACACATTCTTTCCCAACTCAACCAGTGGATTCCTTTTCCTACATCCTGCTTTCCTCGCCACCAAAATCGATTCCTTTCCTCGCCACCAAAATCGATTCATCATCTTATGGATTTCATTACAAAATGTCAAGGGCAATTCTAAAAAACTCATACAGTAGGATGGAATAGCTTGAAGCACTGATTTGATAAGCACTTCTTTACCAGCTTTGGAAAGAAAATGATTTGACCAACTGTTCATCTTTTTCCACATTCTGTCCTTTAGAAAGCCAAAAATATGTCTCTTGTTACGTCCAATAACTGAAGGTAAACCAAGGTATATACTATCCTCCCCTGATGTTGTGACCCCCAGTAACTGTTCAATCTGCCTTCTCATAGTCACATCTGTATTAGGGCTAAAAACCATTAGTCACATCTGTATTAGGGCTAAAAACCAAACCAGATTTTTGGAAATTGATAGCTTGTCCTGATGCTTTCTCATACTTTTGCAGAATTTCTTTTACTTTTGTTGCTTCACTCGTAGTAGCTTTAAAAAAGAAGAGTGAATCATCTGCAAAAAGCAAATGAGAAATGCGAGGGCAACTTCTACCTACCTTACCCCCATGAATCCAGCCTTTTCTCTCAGCTTCATCAAATAAAGTAGTGAGTCCTTCCGCACATAACAGAAAGAGATAGGGTGAAATCGGGTCGCCCTGTTGTAACCCTCTACTAGCCAAAATTGGGCCCACAATCTCTCCATTAACAATAACAGAATAATTTATTCCACAAACACACATTTTCATCCACTCTATCCATTTTTCTGAGAAACCCAATTTAAGCATAACAACCCACAAGAAATTCCAATCAACCCGGTCATAAGCCTTACTAATGTCTATTTTCATAGCACAAGATCCCATCCCACGACACTTCTGTCTTTTAAGGTTGTGCATCATTTCAAAGGACATTGAAATATTATCAGTAATAGCTCTACCCGGTATGAATGCAGATTGATGTTCAGAAATGACTTTTGGCAACTCAATTTTCAAACGATTAGCTAAAACTTTAGACACTATTTTGTAAAGAACATTACACAATGCTATGGGTCTAAAGTCTTTAGCCTCTTTAGGGTCAACAATTTTAGGAATTAACACAATAAGAGTATCTGGCAATGAAGCAAGCTTTCACAATATCAGTGCCAATAATGTCCCATGATTTTTGATAAAATGCAGGATTAAGTCCGTCAAGGCCAGGTGCCTTATCCGGGTGCATGTGAAAAATAGCCAACCTAACCTCCTCCTCCGAAACAATCCCTGTGAGCCAATCATTGTCATCCTCACTCACTTTCCTAGAAAGTAAAGAAGTGAGGTATGAAACTTCTTCTGGATGTTGACTTGCAATTGAAAAGATGTCACCAAAATAGTTCTATATTGATCTTTTAATGCAAGAGATATTAGTTGACCAATTACCATTCTCATCATGTAATCCTACTATTGTATTTTTCCTGCGTCTTGCTTTGGTTTTTGCGTGGAAGAATCTGTTGTTTCTATCTCCTTGGGTCAGCCAAAATTGTTTAGCAATTTGCTTCTTTCTAACTTCCTCCTCGGCTAGGAGAGCTGATAACTTGTCCTTCAAGGCTTGGTTACAATTTTCAGGATCCACCTCCCTATCCATTTCTAATTTTCGAGTAATACTCTTTTTTTGCTGCCAAAACTCTTTCTAACTGCCTCCTCAAGGCTAGGAGAGCTGATAACTTGTTCCTTCAAAGGCTTTGGTTACAATTTTTTCAGGATATACCACCTCCCGTAATCCCATTCTAAATTTTCGAGTAATACTCTTTTTTTGCTTTGCCAAAACTCTTTATTTCTGCTCCTATTCCCCAAACCCGTACTTCTTTCTAACTTCCTCCTCGGCTAGGAGAGCTGATAACTTGTCCTTCAAGGCTTGGTTACAATTTTCAGGATCCACCTCCCTATCCATTTCTAATTTTCGAGTAATACTCTTTTTTTGCTGGAATACCCGAATCACAGAGCCAAGCGTTATCAAATTTAAATGCTTTAGAGTTTGCCGTAGTAGCTGCTGATGTATGAACAATGATTGGGTCGTGATCAGATGTTGGTGAGATAAGTGTATTAACTTTTGCATCCCTAAAATGGTCGGACCAATTCTTGTCTGCCATGGCTCGGTCAAGTTTCTCTCTCGTGTAAACTTTTCCGAACCGTTTCATGGCCCATGTAAACCTGTATCCAGCTGATGGGAGATCAGTCAAGCCACAATCATCAATTGCCTCTCGGAAGCCATCAATAAGAGCTTGTGGGTAAGAACAACCCTCCCACTTTTCAGAGTGTGTGGCCAAATCGTTAAAATCTCCTAATATAAGCCAAGGTTTGTTGCAACGACCCCTTAAAGCTCTAAGAAGATTCCAGGCAGCACGTCTTCTGCTTCTATCAGCTACCCCATAATATCCCGTTAATCTCCATGAATAATCTCCTTCTTTAATCCATGCATCAATACAATGTTGCGAGAAACCTTGAACATCAAGTAAGGTTTCGGTTTCGTTATTCCAGAAAAGACCCAAACCCCCGCTCCTACCGTTGCAATCAACCCCAAAACAATTATCATAACCCATACTCCTACACACCTCCTCAAGTCTTTGTTTATGAACTAAAGTTTCAATTAAAAAAACCACTGCGGGCTTATTACTCAAAGTAAAATCTTTGAGTAAAAGGTTAAAATCTTTGAGTGCTTGAACTGTTCGGGGATGCCCAGACCCTACAAGTTCCAACTTAGGAGTCTCATTGTGCACGGCCATCGCTTAATGGGATTGCCTGTAGTTTTTGTGGTGGACCGTTGTTATCCACAATTCTGCTTCCTGTTGAATCCGTTTGTCAGAGAAAACTTCAGAGCTGGGTTTTTGCTAGTAACTTTTCTTGGTCTTTTTTTTGGGTCATCTTGTGTCTCGAAAAACCTGTATCCTTATCCTCTTCTTGGCCCAACTGGGCCTCATGGGCCATATTATAGTTTTCCAAGTCCATTCTGGAAGTTGACTCAGATGAACTACCATCATCACAATTCAAACCTACTCCATAAAAAGAAAAGCGAAAATCTCGCGCTTTATTTGTGTTCTTATTTTCTCCAGCAGTTACCTTCGAATCCGCTGCACCTCCGAAATTGGCGTTATGCCCATACTCGCGTAACCATGGACTACCCTGCTGTTTCCGCCGCCGTCTCGTCAGAGCCCGTAAGCTTTCATCCCATCTAAAAACAATTTCTTCCTGTTTAAGATGTAGTCGCAGATCACAAAAGGCTTCAGAGTGACCAAGTCGTCCACAGAGGAAGCAAAACGTACTCAGTTTTTCCAGTTTTTCAATAACTGGAATTTGAACAGAATAGAACACCATACCAAGACTTGTCATTCAGCTCTTCTTTCTCTTTAATTGGTTGCGTAATGTCTAGTCGAACCTCCTCATCCTCATAAAGTCATCTGCATCAGAACTACTTGGCTTCCCCGTCATATTCCCAAGAAAGACCCCAACAAATCTCCTAACATTTTTGCTATCCCCTCATTCATATAACCATTGGGTAAATCTGCCCACTAAACCCCAGAAATCAACATGTAAAAAGTGGATATGCATAGGTATCTCTCACTGTAGCAATTGGTTTTTCCAAACAAAAGGTGTCGATTCAAGCCCTCCAAGGGGTCCACACATGAACCTAGCAAAATCCACTTGATAAAGAAAGAAACAAGGAACGCGTTTTCCAACCGAGATCTGATTATCTATGCTCCCAATGGAATGCCAAACATCTGCCAATGTGGTTCCTCATAGCTTGAAAAATTAATGAATATTATAAGTGAGAACATACCCACAAAGCAAAATTCCATACGGGGTAGTTTTCGATCCCAGGTGGAGTGTCGATCTCGAGACAATCATCTTCATCATCTGAGATAGACAAATGATTTAAAGTGTTTGTTCCATAACAAAAGCTAAATTAAAAGACATAAAAAGGGAAAATAAGGGGACCAATCCCCCTTAATAGAAACATACCCACAAAGCAAAATTCATACGGGGTAGTTTCGATCCCAGGTGGAGTGTCGATCTCGAGACAATCATCTTCATCATCTGAGATAGACAAATGATTAAAGTGTTGTTCCATAACAAAAGCTAATTAAAGACAAAAGAATAGGGACAGATCTATATTTTAATCATGAGGTAAGGAAGGGGACGAGAAGAGAGGTACAAATGGTTAAATTTTTGTTTCATAATAAGAGCTAAGTAAAAAGCAAAAGTAAAGAGACAGATCTAGGTTGTAATGATGAGATAAGGAAGGGGAAGAGAAGGAAAGAACTGTCAAGAGACAGAGAAAGGCGTGCACAAGGCAGAGAAAAAAATACTTTGTTTTAGACAAAAGTTTTTGAAGTGTTATGCTCTTAAATCAAGATTTTTGAACTGTAAGCTCCTCGGATGTTTATTACCTTAAACTCATGCATAATTTGGACTACAACTTTGTACGATCCTAGAGCTAAGCCATTATGTTTTGTTTTTGAGGTAATCTTGAGGCAGGGTTGTAAGATTAAAGCCCTGCAACATGTATAAACACAAGTGAGTGAAACCTGTAATGAAAGTGAACGCAAATTACTCTATTCTGTTTTCTTCTTCTCCCTCTTATTTTCTTCCCCTGAAAATGTAGAGGGGAAGAGAAGAGAGAAGATTATTACACTCTCACCTGATTATGTGTGTGAAAGTATTGTAATGAAAATGCACCTAGATCTCTAATCAATGTTTGAGACCATAGGCAATATATACAATATAAAATTTTTTTCAAGTTTGAAACATTTTTATAATTTAAATATTTTTATTTATTCTAAATGTTAAAAAGATTAATTTTCTACCAAGAGTGTTGGGATGACACTTTTTTTTTCCCCTTAATAAAGGATGAGGGACCTGGCGTGAACAAAATTTAATGATACATGTGTTTAATACGAAAAAAATTAACTTTTCATATAAATAATTATATCAATGACAAAAAATAGATCTCCTAAAATATTTTTTTCTTAATTTAGCTTTAGGAGATACATGTGTTTTAATACTGAAAAAAAATTAATTTTTCATATAAATAATATATCAATGACAAATAATAGATCTTGTAAAATATTTTTTTTCTTAATTTAGCTTTAGGAACTAGCCAGTGGCACTCACCCTCTAAATTTAAAATTTTCCTAAAGTTTACGTTATAATATATAAAAATTTTTACATTTTACTTATAACATATTGATTTTTTTTTTTTTTAATTTCAACCCTCTACGTTTTGATTTTTTTTTTTTCGTCCCCTAAAAATTTTTCCCAATTCCATTACTGCCTATGTTGGACAAAACCAAACCGTTTCATATATGGATCATAAACGTTATTTTGAAATATGATTTTATCAGAGTCTATTAATTAAAAGATGAGTTTTCCATATTACAATTAAATGTACAAATAAATAAAATCTTCTAAAAAATAAATTTTATACAAATAAACAAAGCTTTCAAAAGAGATTAAATGAAAACAATTAATTGGCACGACAAAGGATTTATATATATACTAGTACATGTAGCGAAGTCATTTATTCCCCGAAAAATATAAAACGTAACAAAAAAAATTCATCATCAAAAATACAATTTACGAAAGGAAGGAGCAACCTTTCTTTGTTTCTCTGTGACTGATACGCTTGCTAGTGACTGAACAAAGATGATGTTGAGACAATTCATGAAGAATCAAACTCCATTTTCTAACTGTCTTCACTTCTTCTATAATCCTCATGTAAGTTATTGCAGTTTCCCAAACTTCCATTCGTTCAATTCTTAATTTACTTTTTTTTAATTTCTATGTTATTATTTGCAGAGAGAGCTCCATAGTAGAAATAAGAAGGCGATGGAGTTAATAGCGAAGGGATGGAGCGCTTTGCAAGAAGTTGATCGAGTCATCGATTACTGCGAACTCAATGATCACCGTCTTATTCCTCTTCTTAGGGTAATGACGGTAGCTTAATTGGAATTTACGAGGTTCACTTGAATATAGGGTTAGAATGAAACATGAGTGGAAATTTTTTTAATTGTGTTTCCAGGTTTATATTACTCATATCATTTTAGGAGGTTGAAATTCACATGAGCTTTAATGATGTAATTGATTGAGGCGCTTGAAACTGGAAATAGCTGATTGATTATGTTTTCTAGTTGTAAGATTGTCTGCCCTACTATTATATAAAACTAGATTCAAAATTGATATGTTTTTGGTTTGCTTGACACCATTTATTTATTTTTCTTATTATTAGAGGATTTCGTTTTATATGAAACATGTGTTCTAGTTCAGGTTCATATCTACTTTTTTTTGGCATGTAAATGTCACAATATTTTTTTTCTACATGTCGAAGGGATGGAAAAGAAAGAATATCTTTTATATATCCACCCAGTTTGTCAACTTTTTTGGAAATGATATGTATTTTTGTATTAAAAGTGGAGAAGAATCTTAAACTCATTAATTGTCAGTATCTTTGCTTTTGATAATATTTAATGTTTACTCATTGTGTTTGTTTGATATTAGACTGCAAAAGAGAATTTTGAATTGGCTTTGGAGGCTGACAACTCGAATACCCATGCCAGGTATTGGTTGTCCAAATTGCATTTGAAATATCATGTTCCTGGGGCATGTAAAGCTGTGTAAGATAACTTTCTTCTTCTCTTTTTATCCTCATGCTTTTGTGATTATGGTATGAGATGTAGCATAGTCATTCAATAATTTCCCCAAATGTTCTGAGATTTAGTGAAGCAATTAGATGATTGGCTGTTTCCCCTATCCCAATAAGAGTGTAGGAATTCAGGCTAGTTGAGTTCCAGATTGGATACCCTGTCTGCTGTTGGTTCTTTCAACAGGCATTATATATAGCTCTCGGTTGCGAATTATGAATATGGATGCCTTTCAATTTCAAAAAGTCAATATAAACCATACTTGGCTAGATACTTATTATTTCTGAAATCCATTTTGATAGTCAATTTTGACAATAACGGATATCAAGTAACACTATGTTCTTATAATTCTTAAAATTTGTTTAGTTTTATCTAATGTATTCATTTCATATAGTTCACTTTTTGACTTCTTAGTTATGTTTCTATTTTCTGTTGCATTGATGTTGTTTTATCTTTCCTTGCCATGACTTAGAGGAGCTGCTTTGTTGGTGGAAGCAGCAGATATGGGTGATCCAGATGCACAATATGAATTAGGTTGCCGGCTGAGAGTTGAGGTTGGTTAAATTAGTGTCTGTCAAGTGATTTGTCTGTGAAACTGTGATGATACTTCTTTATTAGATCAGCTCCTTTGGCAATAAAACCATAAGATAAGATAAAAAAAAGATTACTTTGTGAGTGATGTTTGCATTACATGAATGCAGTAGACAACAACCTTCTAGTAAACATTTACAACTGTACTTACAAAATTTTAAGCAATGGCAGGAATTATATACCAACATAAATGTAGTGGTACTTGTTAACTACTTAATTTTATGCAATGGCAGGAATTATATACCAACACAAATGTAGTGGTACTGGTTAACTACTTGTGAACTTAGTTTTTAATGTAGTTTTTAAGAGCTTGGGTTTTTAAACGTCTTTTTCTCCTTCATCCGATTTTTTATTGTTAGGATACATTTTAAATTCATGCTGATGAGTTACAAAGCTCAATGTCTTAGATACTTCATGCTTGTAAATGGTATAGATGTGATGGTAGATGGCCAATTATTATATGGTGGTTCTGTTAGTTCTGAATGTCATTTAACATTACTTGGTGATCTTCTTGTCCTGTTATTTGGTAGAATGATTATGTCCAATCAGATCAACAAGCTTTTTATTATTTGGAGAAGGCTGTTGACCAGGTGTGTTTCCAAAAGCCATTATACTCAGCAGTCGATGCTTGCTTTATGTCTCATTGCCTCATTCAAGCTATTGCTATGTTCTAGTTGCATCCAGGTGCTCTTTACCTTCTCGGTGCTGTATATTTGACAGGGGATTGCGTGAAGAAAGATGTTGCTTCGGCTTTATGGTGTTTTCATAGGGCATCGGAGAAGGTAATCGAAAGTATTCTGTATACTAAATAAATCGTTTTCTAAATCAACTTGTATTAGTCCTTAAGCTGAGCACTCCAAGCATCTAAATGTGATAATTATTGAAATTCTCAATTGTTCAAAGTCAAAATAGTTGAACTCTAAAAC